AAAATATAAAAAATATATCATTTTATTAAAATTTTATTAGTATGAATGATATACGAAAACAATGCAAAAATTAATTAACTCAGTAAGATAATTGATCTCAAGTATCTAGCCGTGTAAGTTTATTAATTTTTCTCACTTCTATATGCATAAATTATTTGCATAATATTTTATTTAACATACACATAAATTATAAATGAAATTTGATTTCTATTTTATTATTAGCCTATTTCTTCATTATTTAACAACTATTTATAAAACTAAAGCAAACATTAAATACAGAAAAATTAATCTCAAAAAATTGTAGAAAAATTGAATATGGAAAAAATAACGATTGTTGTTTTTAAAAAATCAAGGCTGTTAGAACCCGGGATGGTTAGAGATTTTTTTCATAAATAAAGTTATGACAACTTAACTTAAGAGAGTTTTCTAATAGAAGAGGATGAAACCTCTCGACTTGTACAATGCAAAAGAAGAACTCATTTGTGAAGTATTTCTTTGACGAGCGAATGCCCGAACACGCGTGGCCCCGTTCGATGGGGTCACGATATGGGGTGGAAAATGCGGAAAACACGAGATGGCAGCACATTGTAACCGGACAAAATTTTTGGCACATTGCTTCAAATCGTGTTTTCATCCCCCCAAAAAATGCAAGATACAAAAATACATATAATATGCATTGTAAAATAATTAAAAATATGTGTCACATGTTAAATATACATATACTTATAAATTGTTAATATAAATTTAATTGCAAGTATATCATTAATTTATTTCAGCATTATTTTATAAAAAAATAACATTCCACTAATTCTTTATCTATAATTTATTTGATTATTTTTCAATAAATAATATAAGCATAAGAAATTCGATTGTATATAGTACCTATATATCAACGACCAAACCTTATAATTTTATTATTTAATACAATACCGGTCATTAAATAAAAGAAGACAGCCTTAAAGCAAATAAAGCATGATGCGATCTATGAGTGAATGGTGGCGAATAATCGATGAGCGGTAAAACGTGCGAGGTAAAACACACATTATCGTGGCGGTAAACACGGGGAGTAAACTACTAACTAGTCCGACTAATGCAATGGTCGTTCAACCATTGGTAGACATCCCTTGTTTCGCAGAAATGAGCGCGCGTTTATAATCGCCAAACATAATTTTAATAAAATGACGATATCTCTTGTGCGCGGATTTCCTACGCTGATATGCTAATATACCACGATAATGAGAATTTCACATGTTCATTCACAACTTTAACTACGATCTGATAACAATTAGTCGATTTTTTTACTGTTAATTATTAAGACTCGAATCCTCATATATGAATAAATTTTATCAAACGAGCTTAAAATATTTATAAGTAATTTAATTTCTCAAAAAAATCTAGTAAAAAAATAATCATTAATTGAAACAATTTCCAATTTACTTATTGTTAGCTTGACTTATAGCTAAACATGACATCGCGTATATATTCCAACTTTTCCATTTATCTTATTTTTAATTCAAATATCAGATGTTCTTGTAAAACTTTTGACTTTATATTAAGAACCTTTAAATTAAATAAAGTTTCAATCGTATTGATTTAGGTGAGATCGCTCGGATGTATCGAAAATTGAGTTGGGACGTTTTCTCACTCCGTAATTAATTTTGTTTTCATTGGACAAATCGGTTATTAATGCATGTTTCAATCGTATTGAAATATTGGAATGATTGAAATAAAAATGTACATTTGTATATTTTATTATTTTTTTTTGTATTATCGTTTTCTCATGCAAGTATGATAATCGTGAGTAGTAGATCGATATCACGATTCGCTCGGATATACGCGACCGAATAAATTATTCCTTCGTCAAATAAAGCAAAGTTGTGCTGTTCATAAAATTATTATTCTACCGCGCATAATATCTATGCGATATTTATGAACTTTAGCTCATGTAAACTATATGTATATGCAAAAAACAAATGTACGCAATCGAATAAATTATTTCTTCATCAAATAAAGCAAAACTGCATACTGTATATAAATATATTTATATGTATATGTATACTTAATGTCTTATCGTTACATATTCAATAGAATGTATATAATTAACCTTAATAAATATTCCTTAATAAAATATTTCTTTATCTTCAATCAAATATTTATATGTAAGAAATCAAACGTTATAATTAACATCACTTATATGTGATCATAAAAATTGTGATCTGTCCTATTTATATTTCAAAAATTCAGCACACATTTCCATTTTTAAGATTAAAAAATATCTGAAATTAAAAATTATTAAGTACTAAATATCGGTATATTTACCCATCATTAAGTATATCTTTCAAAATATATAAAATATAAAATAAGATTTAGAAATATCGATTCTTCACATAAAGGAATCTTATAGAACAGATACATTAATAAAAGAACATTGATTGAGTTATGGCCAGGCCGTATATATTCTCTATATTTTCCCAAATATATCGTTTTCACGAAAATAGAAGCCCCAAATATAAAACATCGCGGCCGATCTGATTTATCAATGATATCGACGAACCGTCGCGCTATAGCTGCAACAGTAACGATAATATCGAATATGTGCACGATAGATCGACGTGTACACGCGACGGTACACGTCGACGTACATCCGTCGTTTCGACACGACGGATTTAGGTGCGTCGATAAATAACGCCGACAGGTGTGCGAGCACATCGAAAAGCTCGCTCGCTCGCTCCTTTTGATGCGAATGAGCCTTCCACGTCGGAGGCTACGGACCGTAAATTAAGGTCAGAGCCAAGAGCGATGTAAGCGACAAACCGCGAAAAAGAGAGAGAGAAGAAGAACGAGGAAGAGAAACGCGAACAGATATGCAAATCACGCTCGGCTGTTTACGTTTGTCGATCTGCTGTCAAAGTAGCATGCCGACGAAATAACATAGATAGCCCATTCGGTAGAATATGAGTGAGAATAGATAAACCTATCTTGCGAGTAAACTGCAGTTTAATGAAATTTTAATCTCTTAATATAACACGTCGCCTCCCAAAGAGGGACACTTAATTTTTTTGTTCTTTAAAATAAATTGATCTGACCTAATAACATATGGCGTTAAAAAGTGGCCAGATGTTGGGAACTATAATTTTGTACAGTTTCAAAAATCATTAACAGATGGTGTCGATTGACAGATAATTTCGTGCGTATAGTAGGACGAATTAGCATTCCGTATTAAATTTAAAAAATAATTAAATAGAAGTTATATGTATATTGAAAATTGTAAATGAAGTGTACAAAATTATAAAAGCAAAGAGAAAATAAGGACATTCTCTATACATATATGTTAAAATATGAAAAACAAGTTTGTTTGCCAATTTACTAAATCAACGATGACATATCTCTTATTATTCAATAATTAAATATTAATTTAATTACTTCATTTTGGTATACTGGTATCTCATTAATGGCAACGTACACATGCACGGACAGAATTTTCTCTTAGAATTTATCTCTGAAAATCATAGTAATCGTGAAACAATATGGTATTGAAAAAATTTTAAAAAGTTTCTCTGATTAAATATTTACCACAATAAAAAATATTATATAATATATATACATAATCAATTTTACTATGCACATAGTAAAATTAATCAATCATATTTTACATTTTATTGTGTAATAGATATTAATATTTTTTATTGTGGTAAATATTTAATCAGAGAAACTCTAATAAAATTTTTTCAATAGTGTCCCATAATTATCATAATTTTCAGGATACATTCTAAGAGACAATTCTTTCTGTGTACTTTCATAATTTGTTAATTATTTCCTTAATTATGATTTTTTGTCTTTTTATCATGTAAGAATAAAATTTGATGTACAAGAAAAATAATGTGCAAAGCATTTCCCCAGCAACGATATAAAAAAATTGTACACAATAATATAAACAATAAGTGTGATTTTACATATTTTTTTATAGTGTATATTCTGCATCAATGTGCAGCGCGCTTTAAATATGATTACATTGCAGTTTCCCTTTAACATTTCAAATCTGCTTTGTGTATATAGAAGGTTAATCCACTTCTGACTTTTTTTTGCATTTTCTGATTAAAAAGTATTTATTCCGGCATATTTCCAGACATTCCTCTCATTGCAATATAATGAAAAAATCGAAAAATGAGGACAAAATATTTCCTTTTTTAACGAACAGGAATAAAATAATAATAGCTATACTCTCTCTCTCATTTTTCTTTGTCTTGTAATTAAAAATATAATTGTGATAATAATGAAAAGTGCTCTGAAGTTACATAATAACATTACGACACAGTATCATATTTTTATATTGTAATAATAATGGCAACAATAATTAACAATTGATGATAATTGTAATATAATAATACTATATGAGAATATTATAAAAATTAGTATGTCAAAGATTCACGATCTAAATTCTCCCGGCGAACAGCTCGTATTTCCAAGTATCGATCTCGATATTTCGAAAAATTCGAGAATATTTCGAGATAAATCGAGAAACTGAGTGAAGGTAGCTACGAACAAGTGGTCGAGCCGGCTAACGTGTAACCACGCCATATGTTTCAAAAGGACATGATCATATAATACACATATTTTTAGACATATCCATTTACTTTAACTTATTCTTCCCTTTAATCCATGCATTGCTGGGATCAAAAATCTATTCTGAACCACTCCTTCGAGAGAAAAAGAGCATTTGGGGGATAAAAATGCGATAGAATTTCGGGTGAAAAGTGGAGTACGACGTGTAAAATGTTGCGGACAAAAGCGACAACGAACCGGCGACGAGAGAAACGACTCTCCCTCGCGGTGACCGAGTTGGAGGTTAACCTGTCACTCGATGGCAGATCGATTTTACGGCGCGCAAGAAGGGAGGAGGAGTCGCAGACCGCCCGTTCGTCGCACGATTACGAGGAAGCACGGTATTATATAATTTCTGGCACTCACCTTGCTCGCCAGCCGTCCGGTGCGACGTGCGCGGAACTCGTTGCGATGTGCAGTGTCCGCGATGCAGGTGTCCCGGTTGTTCGTCCGCACGATCGGGAACAAGAGAGGATGAGCCCAGTGATTTTTTACGGAGAGGAACGTGTCCGCAGAAACGACGAGGTCACACACTGATTCGGCGGCGGTTGCACACTTCACGATAAGAAAATATATAAGGATGCGAGAGAAAAAAAGAGAGAGAAGAGAGAGAGAGAGAGAGAAAGAGAAATGTCAAACTTTATCACGAGTACAGCATGATGCGTGACGGATCGCGTACGAGAGACAAGAGAGAAAGAGAGAGAGAGAAACAATAACAAGAACAACGACTACACTCGCGCGACACCACCGACACCGACACTACTCGATGACGTCATACCACCGGCGGCAACATGGAGCCCGCCGCCGACGACGTACGCGCGACGACGACGCGACACGACACCGAAAACACCACGATTTAACTTACGACGAATAGCACGCGCCGCGTTTCTACCGTTCTCTATTCGGCTACGGCCGTCTGGTTTAACCTCAAAACGTTTTAGCGTTCGTTTATCAGCCGGAGGATGCGCGTTAAACGTGAGAAACGGCAGCGGACGCGCCCGTGCGCAACAGCGACGAGACACGGACCCGAACTGAGACGAGATGTCAGCCGAGCGGCGCCGAACCCAGCCGAACGCGTCGCCGCTCGCCGCCGTGCGCCGCGCGCTCCCATTGGTCGAGCGCTCGCCCCCACCTCCTCGGCTCGTGTACGCTCGGCTGCTCTCGTCCCTCGTCGTGACCGAGGAAAACGGTAGTCATTCCAATGAACGGCGCGGCGTAAAACGTAAAATCGCGATTTGACGTCCGGAGAATGACATTGTGTTATAACCTCTTCACTCGCCCGCGAATCGTATATCAATTTATCTCCTTCAATCGCGCGTGAAGCAACGACTGTCGTTGCAGGATCGTAAGCTCCAGGACTCTACTTTCGACGGACATAGTTTTGCGTGATCGCTCAATTGCGCCCAACTTCAGGTAAGTCAAATCGAAAGTGCATAAAGGTTACGTGTATTCATGGTGTCTGGTGTCGCTCGTCGCTCACATATAATTAAATGTATACTTTATATATTTTATTTTAATTATATATTATATTATTATTCGTATTTAATCTAAATAAGTATATAAGAAATCTGTATATATATATGCTTTTATTTATTTATTTATTTATTGTACTTACATCTTGCAATTCCATGTTTACGCACTTATTTACACAATTTATTGTGACAGCGATGTCGCTAAAAATTGGGTTCAATTCAACTTTTTAACAATAAAATCAATCACGTGACCATCCATCGCTTCGACAAGCGACACCGCATGAAGTTGTACCTTAACTTCCGCAGTGTCTTCGGAGTTTTTAACAATTTTCGTGTCTCTTCTCGATAGCTCGATTCGTCTAATCCTTCTTGTCGACGCGAGGAAGAATCGAGGAAGATCGAAGAGCAGCCTCATCAACTAGGTATGTGATACAGGAAATGATAAGCGATAATTTAAATGGCGTGAATCGTTTGGCGGAGCGAGAGTGACAATAAGATAACCCCTTTACTTTCAGAATCCGTGGAGAAAAAAGATGACACCGTCTCCGTACGTCTCTCGAATAAATCAGATCGACGCCGCACAGTTGGACACGGAGATCTACAAAGTGCTGAAGACTCAGACCAGAGAGATCGCGAGATACAGCGCGCCCGGGAAGATCGACAAGTGGCAGGCGGAAGTGGACGTCCTCTTGAAACTTCTCATCTGGAAATTCTCGCTGCAACGAGGCTCCTCCACATTCGGCCAGCGACTCCTCAATCTGCACTACGCCAATATTAATCAGAGGAAAGCCGTCCTCTACTTAATCCTCAGCGTTCTGCCTCAATATCTGAAAGACAAGCTGGCTAATAGGAATCTATCAGATCGCGGCATGCTCGTCCAAGGTCTAAAGTCGCTCGTCGATTGGACATCGAACGCCGTCAGCACCCTGGAGCTGATCAATCTGCTGTATTTTCTTCACCGGGGCGTGCAACCGCGTGCGATAGAGTTTCTGCTGAATCTGTCGAGTCAGTCGATCACGACGCATCGACCAAGAACGATCGGATACTCGTACATGACGAGGGAGCTGCTCTGGCACGGCTTGATGGAGCTCTTCACTATTGGCATACCCATGATCAATTTCCATTATCTGAAGCACGCGATAACGCGACTCTGGCGTCGAGCGGAACCGGCGACGATGACGCGATCGTTTCCGGTGATGGACGCCGAGACCAAGTGCGCCTACTGCGACGAGAATCCGATCCTGCCGTCACACGCCGGCTGCACACACGTCTTCTGTTACTACTGTCTGCAGGCGCATTTCACCGCGATGAGTGTGTTTCACTGTCCCGGCTGCGGCACCGAGCTCCACGTCGAAGACATGAAGAGTTACACGGTTGCGAGTGCGTCATCGAGCGACGACGAAGAGTCGGACGATAGTTTTGAGAGAGTGGACACTGGATAACGTGAACGTATGTATCTATATTTTTTAATTCTATTAATAACAGTGAATCGATGATCGCGGAGTGACGTGATGGTGATGGTTACACATATAAATTGTTGGTGCCTTTATTCTTCTAGTCTATAAACTCGGTGACTGCCACTATCTTAAAATAAATTGAAAAATTAAAATTAAAATTAAAATTAATTTTAAACATTTTTATTCTGTGGGAAGAGGGAGAAAGGAGAGTTGTGGAATTAAACTAGTTTTGTGGAAAAAGATTCTTCGCAAAATATATAGTGATTAGAATAAGTACAAATAATTTTATTATTATAATATCAAAGATAACTATAAATTTTGAAAAAAATAAAATATAAAAGAAAAACGAAAAAAAATTCACCTCTCTCTCTAATCATCGATTTATCGTGAAACACGGCAAAGGGCTGTGTATATATGATATCAACATTTTTTTTATTAAAAATAGCAATATACAAAATCTTTATTTTTTATTTTAATACAACGAATCCTGATTTTTTTCCAACGTTTTTCTTCCTTTTTTCGAAACAAATAATAATAGATCGGTATGTATATTCTCTTGCTTATCAAAAATTACATTTTATTATATAAAAAAATATGCTGCGCTGTATATTATAAAACGCTTCATCTGCCGCCGCGCAGGTCGATGGATCGATCATTTACATGCGATAATGATACGATTCATCGATTAATTTAACACATTCAACTGTTGCACCTGCGCTCGATGGGCGGGTACGTCCCCGGATTTATTACATGAGAAACATATATTTTAAGCACTGGAGAAAGAAAGAAAACGCGAAACACATACACATAAATTAACATTTTTCATTCGCCTCTCCTATACGACTATTACAAATATTTGACTCGAGTTTAAACTCTTATCATCTTCTTTTGGAATGTGTGATTTATAATACAATTGTGTATATATATATATATATATAAATATATATATATATATAACGCGGATTTTTCTTCGTTTTTTGCGGGAAATTTTTTCTCGCAATGGAAATCTAATTTGTATTTGTGTTTGTTGAAAATATCCGCAGCTACATTAGCGCGAGTCTACCCTAATCTAATACTAATCTTATACATCGCGACAGAGTTTGCCCGAAAAAATAATAAGGCACTTGGGAAATATACCACACATTTTAATTGCGAGATTTTATTTTCTTTTTTTTACTTTTTATATGGCGTTCCTTTTTTTAATAGCGTAATTTGTAATAATAAAAAATTTCAGCCACTAAATCTACTTTTTCTTCAAGATTTGCCATTATTTTGTTATTTTTGTATACTCTTTTTTCGGGCAAATTCCTTAATTATTCTCCGCATTCCCTTATCAACATTTTGATAACAATACTAAAATATTTTATGTGTCCTTTTTATATATCGAGGAGTTTGCGATTTTATAATCTTGCTAGGCAAAAAAAACAAAATTCTCGATGTTTAAGCATGAAAGAGAGAACATAATGGTGCGAGGCATTCAGTTTATCGATATGTAGGAATGATTGGCGCATTATAGCTGCTGAATTAAGGCAACATTAAGTCTAAAGGGCGAGATCGTTTGATATTAATATCGAAGTGCTTGAGTTTCATAATTTCCCAAACTTATTCTTTAGATTTATTAATAAGTTCATGTGATGCACTCTGAATTGAATAAAGGATTTGATGCAATAATCTCTTAACTTTTTAAAGATTCGGAAAAATTTATCTTAAAATTGTTAAAATTTAATTAAAATAAAAGTTACAATTAATTGGAATAAAAAAAATTTAATTCCAATAAATTGATGTAATTTCAGCAAATTTAATTTTATTTTAGCAATTTTGAAATTAATTTTCATACATTTTTAAAAAGTATATCAAAACCATTAAATTTTGTAATCAGAAAATACTTTTGAACTATATAAACATTCGCAAATCTATCGTTTAGAAATTATGAAGATAAGTCGTTACTCAACGATACGACTGTGTGGACTTGAAATCCTTCCAAAATTCTCAGGGAAAGTTTTTTTTTAAATCCGTACATACGTATCATTTTTCATAGAAGTTTAGTAATCAAGAAAATAGAAGTCATTGAAGATATTAAAAGCTAGAATGGATTACGTCTATAATTCGTAAGGTTTACTTCAATTACCAAGTCGTATTTAAAAGATGAATCCCACAAATTATAAGCTCAATTCATTTCTAGCTTCGAACGATTCGTAAGCTGATTAAATTGTACGTATAAAGTTCTATATAAAGTTCTATAAGTTAGGTAGGAAAGAATGAGTCCACAGTTTTGCTATGATGAAACAATATTAATAATTCGTAATATTATCTCTACCCCGTTCTCGACGCAAAAACATAAAAAAATATACTCACAAAAAATATACTCACGATATATATGTTACACACACAGTAGATACACAATTTGAGAAAGATTTACGGCGCATTCTCATAAACGCAACGGAATTCAGGTCGCGTAATTTCGCGAGCGAGGATTTTGATCGCAATTAATTATATGCGTTAACATTCTAATTTCGCTTGTTTTCGAGAGAGAAAGAGAAGTCTGTCATGTTATTTGCTGGGGATGCAAAATGTGTCAGGTGAGTAGGGACTAGAAGAAATTGTTGTTATATTTTTGGAAGCCTTTAGGCAGTTTTTTTGGGATGTATGTGTGTCTGTCTTCTCTCTTCCCAACTTAATTGATTCTCATTATTAATTGAAACGCTTAAGTGCTAGTTCATAATCGTCGTTTCTCCTCGCACGCGGGTTTCCTTCATTTCTTTTAATGCTAATTTTCGCGACTATATATCTATATATATTACCCGTACATCCTAAATCTTGCACATAATTAGTACACATTTACATAGGAACATTGACGGCTTTCTTCTCAGGACTAAGGAAAGAAATTGATTGCTGGTCGGCAAAGGGATCTCGTTATATTTTATGTACAGATTTATGAATTGTATACTTTCGCGAAAACAGTAAATATATGTTGGGAAAAGGCTAGAATTTAGAAAAAATATTTTCGATATTCGTCTTCTGCTCCGAAATTTCTGTCTCTGCTATATATTAAAAAAAAAAAAGAAAAAAAAAGAAAAAGAAATCTGATTTAATTTTAATCACGTTTTTTATCACACTTTAGGGAGATTATTTTTCTTTCAAATTCTTATAACTCGAAAGTGACGGAGTGCGAACGACTTTCGAAGTACTTTTTAAGCTTGCGCTGCTTCGTTGATTCACGATTATGCGTACGCGTACATTTTATCCACAGCGACAGTGAATATATCACATGATTATCATCGTTCGATCGTGCACTTTATACTTACAAAATGTTTTATCTTCCATTATCATTTTTACGAGATACCCTTCACCGAACACAAAATTTTTTAGAACAACGATCGATATCGCAATTTGTTCCTGCCGCAAAAATATTATGTCTTGTCTCCCAGGACGAAAACGATTAGAGCATATAGAGCGGCATAATTGCAAATGCAATTGGATGAAGGTGATATGCAGCATTTAGATAGCTAAAAATAAAAATTCAAAAAAATTATCAAAAAGATAATTCGGGAAACATTCCAAACTTTTCAAATGCTCTTCAGAGATGTTCTAAACGTCTTTTAAATTTGTATATTCTTATTATTTATATTCAATTAAGATTGAATTAATGGTCGTTAGTGATGAAATAATTAAATCCATTAAAAGTTATGTTGTCACTAATATAATATAAATATATAGTATATCCTGAAGTTATATCAGTAATCAGAGTAATCTTTGCATCTCAAAAGAATTTAAAATAAAGATTTCAAATTTTTTCTATATTAAAGATAAGATTTATAAGTTAATTTTTCTAGACACACCATAAGAATTATTATTTTGCATTATTTTATTCATACTAAATAATTCAATTTATATTAGAATGCAATATATCAGCTTCATCCACGTGTTCTTGCAATTATTATTACCTCGTAACGATCGAATTATATGATCGTTTTCGAACGAAACTTTCTATCTTAGACCATCATCGTTATCATTATTGCCATTGAACAAAAAAAACGAGAAACAATAGAATCGGACAGTCTAATATTATATCACACATATTGCGCGATTAATTCTTATTAACTTATTCTTCTTAATGTTCCGATCTAACTCGCGAGCGCACAAATAATTTACGCTTAAAAAGATTTCGCAAAAGACTTAGTCAAGAACTCTTCGCAGTAAAATCGTTCGTTAGGCATGTTCAATCGGATCGATCGTGTGATCCTGCCTTTCTATTCCGACTTTTCGATTCAAAGATTTCACGAGAGAACCGGGCGATTTTCCCTTCCTCTGCAAAAAACAAGTAATAAACATACTTTTTTCGTTCGATTTGGAATATCAGCTCGATGTAGATAACGCGTTATATTGAATAATGCGCTTATAATTGAAGAACTTATTTACCTAACGCTTTCATTCCTTTGTTCAAAAAAAATTAACAAAAATGACGCTTAAAAATTCTAATAAATTATACCGAGAACAAGATATATCTTATGTCTATAAAACGATCATTTTGCGAAATCGACTGCAATCAACAGTTTTCTGCGTGCGAGGATAATCGGAAAAAATCTAAACTTGGCAATCATTTTTAAATTCTCTATGAATCGTAATACGTACATATTTTGTCTAAATATTATTATTGTTATTAAATTTTATGTCATAAATATCATAGAAAAAAATTATAGAGAATATTTTACATTTCTTGATATCATCATATTTTCAATATATTTTTATATATTATATATAGTTTTTATGTATTATATATATATAATTTGTTTACATTTTTTATTATCATATAATGTACCATTATGCCAAGTTTAGAGCTAGTTTTACAACGATTCCCTAATTAATATTTGTCGTCGCCAATTGACTTAGCTATCGATATTTTTTTCAATTTAGATCCTCGAAAAGTATCATTTGTGGCACGCGGAGAGTAACTCGCGGAATATTTTTCGCTATATAGAATGTATTTTATATTATTCTATTTTCAATATTCTATTTCACACGCGCTTTACACGAAAAGTTCTTGCGATCTCTTGTTTGACGTGCGTCCAGCGTCTTTCGCGAAATAATTAATAAATATTTTGTAACTTATATATATATATATACTTGCTTCGTGTAAAACTCGAAATTGCAACCGCGTGCGGAATTTGTATTCTAAATCGCATTTAATTATTGTCGGATTTAATTACTGTCGGATCGTTATTTAGTTATTGGTCGTTTAATTTCGACGTTTACAAATGAAAGCATTTTGGCCAACTCGCAGTCGCACATTCGAGCTTAGTCTGAATTAAAGATATGTGAATTTTTGCTAGGACGAAAGGCCACTGAACACACGGGACATCCCTCGCCCATCGCATTTCATTCTAAATTCCTGACAATTGTGAAAATCTTTTCTAATTTTTGTAGATATCATTCGAAACATTTGTGTCCATTCTTACACACTTATATACACGCATTCACTCGCAGTTACGGATCATCCTAATTATCAAGCGAACTATTACACGATATAACGAATGGGACACGCGCTTCGTTTCGCGAACGTTATAAGCGTAATTTATCTGATGCATTCTTCGCCAATAATTGGCGAACGCTTGTTTAGAAGCGTTCATTGAAATCGCGAAATCGATATAAGATTCGAAAAATTTATCAGCAAGATGAAACAAAAACGACGCGTCCATCGTTTTTTTGGACAATTGTGTAACAAACGAAGACAGCGAAAATAATAACGACTATCCTAGATCCTAAGGCACCTTTTTTGGGCGCGCGCCGAGAACGGCGAAAAAAATGAGGAAAAAAAAGAATACAGCCAGTTCCCGGCCACAAAAATAACTTTCTCCTTCTTAATTCTTTTCCCGATTAAGCAATCAAATCAATCAAGCATGCAAACTATTTTGGCTATCCATTTCGCGTCACTCTGCAGATATAGATAGTTCCAAATAGTTATTTTTCCATCAATCTCGTGAATTCGCGTTCGTTCCGCCCGAACATCCGCAAATTACGGATGCGCGATCGGGATTATTAAGTACTTATTACTTTGCGTAATTTGGGCGGTATCGCCGATCGAATTCGAAAGCGTTGATACGCCGTCACGTTTGGAACGAATAGCGAGCGATCAGTTTTCTTTTACCATTTGGTGTCCAGGCATTTGTCTGTCGAAGCCGACAACGAGGAGGCCTTCCGTTCGGCACCGGGCGCGGCGCTTCCGGAAAACGGGCTCGTTCGTTTGTTCATATCTGGGAAACGAGAACAAAATTATTATTAACAAAAGAGAGAGACTCTGTAATCTTAATTACGCGGCTACGAAAATACCTTCACATTTGTTAATTATTTTTTTTATAAATAATTTTAAAAATAAAATTAAATAAAATAAAAAGAAAGAGAGAAAGAGAGCAAATTGCCCAGAACGTGTCCACAATTAACATACCAGATATTAATAACAATATTTTGCGCCTCGCACCCCAAGCGGTAATCCCGATTTCGCAGAGGTCCTTCTCTGTCAGGGAATGAAATGTAGACATGTCTACTTCATGAGACGTGAACAGGCCTGGCGAATGAGAAAAAAAAGCTGTTTCGATTTTTTCATAAAAAAGCAGAAAGCAGTGCAAGCGAAGCAATAGCAGTGCTCGATAAGCAATTTTACGATGATTATGTGACTTGCGTAATACTCACGTATATATTTCTCCAAGCCGATGCTGGCTAGCATACTAGCCAAGTCACTGAAACGATGCGAGGACGTGATTTTATTTAAATGGGAGGTCGGTGTGTGGTCTATATAATTCGAGGCCATCCCTATTTGTCCAACGCGATCCTTGCTCGGAATAATATTACCGAAATCCATCTCGGTACTGAACATCGGCGTGGTCGGTTCCTTCCACAAATCTGAAGGATGTGTCAGTTCCTGTAAGAAATATTTCGTAATTATCAAAATAAATATTTCAATACTTCTCGTCACTAAATGATTACAAGCTTTATTAATTATTTTCAAAAAGGTAGAACTTTCTAAATAAATTTTTAATATTTAATATCGATAAAATTTATCGACATAAATGTTAATAAATTTACATTCTCATAAATCCTTATTAATATTGTTCTAATTACTTGGAGCACATCAAGGGAATTTATAATCACCTTGCTTAAGTCACTCGTAGATATATGCGGAATACTCTGGCTGAGGCCGTAACCAGACCACGCGGACGTCGGCACGCGGAAATCGCTGTTACTCGGCTTGTTTTGCACTGCTTTCGTGGCTAGTAACTTCTTCTGTTCGTAATCGAAGGGCGTGAGATGTTGCTGCGCAGCTAACTCCAGGGTCTTTTTCTCGCAGCCAGGCGCACGTCGATCGGTGACCGGTAATTCGGATAGCATGCTAGATAAATCCGCTGGAAAACAAATTGAGACTTATTATCCCCGTAAGTGAGATTGTTATGAGCACTAGAGATTGGTTTCTCGAATATTTGACTTACATAAATTAGCACTTGTATCTGTAGGATTGACTGGCGAAACGTTGCGAGGACTGATAGCAGGACTAGATAGAGAGCTAGAGACGCTGCTTAGCGAAGAATAAGCTGAAAATAAAAAATAAAATTTTAATATTTAATTATATAAACCATGTTGTAAAGAATTTTCATAAAAATACTTTCCAGAAAAAAATATTTAGAAAAATTGGAGTTTACTGAATATTCGAAAAAAAAATTGAAATTCGTAAATGTAGAATAAATCGGAGGCTGATTACTTACCACTGCTACCCTCTTTGTTATCTGTTAGGTTGGCGTTGAGACCATGAATATTAGAAAAATTGGTCGATACACCATTAGAGTGGTAAGCTCTCACAGCGGGAGATATCATATGATTTGTTAATCCATGGGCGCCGTGGGAAGTCCCCATTATGTTGTTGTGTAACATGTGCTGTGCCGTCAGCAGATGATTCAAATGAGGATAGGGATACGGACACATAGGCATATAATGGGAAGCAATGTTCCAATGCGATAATCCTGCCATGGAATTTGGCGAGTGCGGAATCGGTGACATACAATACGACGGATTCTGCGCGTTTACATTCAACATACTCGAAAAGTTATCGGTCACGTCAGCCATCAGATTGTTAGAGCCTAATTGCAAGAAAAAAATTAAGATAATAACATTGATAACTTTTCTAATTTTTTCTAATTTTTTTCAATTATCAATTAATTCGAGATACGAGCAAAATTACATTTTCTTCAAACTACGGAAATTGTATGGAATTATAAAAGCAAGATAATTTCACTGAAATACTGAAATAAATTATTGAGATTTTGATTGCATTGAACTGAAACCTCTCACATTTTAAAGTCTGTGTCAGGTAGACGAAAGATCGTCATTATCTGTTGTCACTATTTTGATTCCGATTGACAGAGAACACTTACCGATATCATTATTATTATTGGCATTGCCATGGAAAACATTGTCGGCATGCGGAACATGATATGTAGCCGGTATCTCAGCAAGAACTCTGGGTTCGTCCAATCCCAACAGCAGTTTCCGTGCTTCGTAAATATTAGTGGCGTTCCTCTCGATTCCCTTGATAATCACGGAAAGCGTGCTTTGTTTCGGCTTATGCCGAACGTTGATAAACACATCCAAGGTTTGCATGAGTTGAGAGATCTTTTCAGTGTCCACGGTAGCGGACATAGAATCCTCCGGTAGATCGAACATGAGCACTAACGGTAGTGAGCCCTATAAAAATACGTCGTCATATTATTTATTTAAATTATTCGCAGAGAGACTCGAATCGTGAAAATTACATATATAAACAATTATTTTGCGTCAAGTATATTTATTTGGAATTTTAAATCAATAATTCTATGAAATCTAAAAAAGAATAATTTGAAATTGTAATATAAAATTTAAAACTATGAAAATTATATAAATTGGAAGAGTGGAGAAAAACAATAAGTCTAAAAAAATCTTAGAAAAAATAAACTCGCTAATAAATGTTTTTAATATTGAGGAAAAATATAAAAGTTGGTATAAATTATAGAGTCTTTAATAAATTTATAGATTTGCTTACCACTAACTGTTGTCGAGCCAAGTAAACATTATGCATAGCGCCAGTAATCGTGACGTTGCTTTTTTTGAGATTTGGTATATTCGGATCGCCAGCATCGGGAAACATAATTTGCGTGGCGGTACGCTGCATTATTGCCTTCAGATTGCTGCTCTGTTTTCCTAGCACAATGCTATGATGTTGAGGTGAGATCTCCATTGACATTTGTACTTGGATTTGACTCTACGAAAAAAATGAGATTTTTCGAAAATTTAACAAGAGAAAATATTTCCAATTTTTTTTCATAACGATTTATCGACGTAAAAAGAAAAAGAAACATTTTGGAAGGCATAACAAATTGACGTAAATAAATTATAAGAAAATATTTAAAGAGAGCTAAATATGCAAAACAATGATGATTCAAAATGCTTCTATCTTTTTATAGAAAGTTGAAAAAATAATTTAATTTTTTCAAATTTTTTAAGATTGATTTTCAAGTTCTCAAGAAAAAATGAAATCTTTTGATTTTATTCTTGCTACTCACAGCTAGATTTTTACACAAATAACGGATTAGCTGAACCGTCGCCTCCTTGACTTGTGAAACCTCCCATTCACATCCTTTGACGATCACTAGGGTGGCGTGTAGCTTCGGTCTCGTGCGATACATCACTTGTACATTGTACTTCTCTTGTATCTTTACGATGGGGGGTGAGTTCTGGTCTGGCACGGGTTGCGACGCGCTCATTATAGGCATTTCGAATGTAAACATCAAAGGTGTTAGAGTCTAAAATACGAAAGTGGAAATAATAAGTCGATGTTTTATTATTACGTATATTCTTTTTTAAGGTGGGTGTACATTGGAAGCACGAACGAACAGCGAATGAATTTTTGTTGTCAAAATTCAGGAATATTTCATGTCTGCCAAACAAGAACGTATTATTCATTAAGCCCGCTATAAATTCAATTTATAATTCGCTGCAAAATTCGAGATAGAATTTTGTTTATAATTTTATTCGTCCTCTGATGCAGAAAACATGTAAAATACAACGAAACGTACAAAATATCAGAATACATACATATATTAAATATATGACACGTAAAATTATAAATAAAATTCTATCTTGCATTTTGTTGCAAATTATAAGTAATTTAAAGTGAATTTTACAGAGTATTCGCTCGTTCGTTCGTTCTTAACCCACCTTTATACAAGAGTTCTTCCAAAACTCGTCTATTCTTTTATCCTCAGAGATTTATTTTTTATTACACAACACATATAATATTTAATGTAACATTAAATGTCTGATATTAATACACAAACACACGCCTGAAATGAAAGTTTTCAATTAATGTAACGTACAATTAACTGAGAAAAAAATCAGATTCTTTTGGATTTTAAATATTATCAAGACATTTATACGTCAAAAGATTTTCCACTTTCAATCGCGCAGAATATAAATGTTATTGTCAAAAAAATCATTTCTAATCTCATCAGAATTTGCAATCGGCGTTCACATAAAGTACACTTTCTGAGACATCCCAGACATATGTATACGTCGTAGTAAGAAAACTCACCCTAACACGTGCGCGGGCGCGTTCGACGCTCTCCATCTCACCAGCTATAGATACTTGATTACTCTTCTCCTGGTGATTGCTGCGGTTACTGTCTGGGAAATGGATGTGACAGCCAGTTTCCTCCATCACTCGCTTAATTGTCAAACCGCCCTTGCCGATGATATGCGAATGGTCGGTGTAGCTAACGTCCAGCTTCATGGTCACTCTGTTACTTTGCTGAAATTGCAATAGTAATCGTCTATCTTTAAACTATATATTATACATATTTATAATTCTATATCTCTAGCATTAATTATAGTCTGTGATTTCAATTTGCTAGTTTGATTGATTATTAAATTCTTGGGATTTTGGGACATTATAAACAGATATTGTTTTAATAAGTTGAAATTTCGGATTCTTTAATATTAATTAATGAAAAAATTAAATTCAAATTATTATGTTCCTAATTTAATATATTTTAACAAAATGCAAAAATTATTATAGCGCTGTGAAGAAATGTGATTTAAAATTTAATATTATATTAATTAATATTGAAAATTAAAGGTTCCATCGTCAATGATCTCTGCCGAAATTTTCATCTCCGCTGAAAGCAATATCGATAAAATTTTCAATGATAAATTTACAATGAAAATTAATATAATTTTATGTGTGTGATGAAGTTGAAATAAAATTCGCCGGGAAAAAAATGAATTTTCCACAGAGTAAAATATCGAAAGAAAGTGCGCATTTCCCGGTAGCCTCCTTCCACGCTGTATTTATTTATGCGGTTGTATTTACTTAGCCATTTATATTCGCATTACGCTTCATATTTTCGCCAATTTCGAGATCGTTGACTTTACATGCGTGAGAGTCTCGAAGCGTATCGTACATCGGAGATTTGTGTGCGCGTACGATTTTAAATATCACGTGGCCGAGCATTACATAAAGTCACGCGATTACGTTGCGCGTTCCGCCGTCGTGCAATTTCAGAAACTTCTTCCTGATCGTATAATGCTTCTTCTGCGAAATACTTAGAATGTCTCAAAATACCCAATGTTTGCAATGATAAAATTATAAGAATTCTATATTCCAGAAAATATTATATTAAAATTTATTATTATTTTTTTTACAATTATATCAACAACCAATTAACTTTCTCTTTGCGAAAAAATAATAAGATAATGTTAACACCATCTGATAAAAATTTGCAACTTTCACGTTTGACAAAATTCTGCTGATTAAAATTTAAATATAATTTAATAATACAAGACTCATGAAATTGTTCTCAAAAATTGTACATGTGTATATGCAAACAGCGGGATATATTAATTAATAAAATATTATTTAAACGGCTTTGATATAGCAATGTTAAAATATAGTAGTAAAAATCCACACAATGTTCCGCCTATATGCTCTCTTATTCTACGTATGACATTTCATATACTCAGCATGATTTTTGACGACGTAATTGGATGATGCGATTGCAGAATTCAGGACATCGGCATCCTGCATCAAGTCAAAAGACATTGGATGTGCATGCACGTGTCCGAGCTCTATAAATAACAGAGTGCTATTTACGCGCCATTCGCGATCCGTAATTAGCTCTATGTATACAGTGTCACTGTCTCACCGTTTCTGCACGCTTGACGCAAAGCTTGGCGTCTATTTTAAAATAGAACCGCGTGCGTGCGATGCACGAGAAAAGCGAATCAAACGAATCGCGAAGAAGAAAGAGGAGGATCCTCGTGCTCCGAAAATCGAGCGTGCGGAATTTTTATCTTCATTTCTCAGCAGAGAGTTATACGCATTCCTTTCCTCGCGTCGTTTCGGTGTCTCTGTATATTCGCGTCCCGGGAACGCGCGCATGTCGGAATGCACGTTAAATGCGCTTGCAGGAATGCAAAGTAACAGGAATTGATCGGTAGGCCAACGAAAAACGACAAGTTCGTCGATTTAACGGTAACAGAACGACGTCTCATCGCATTGCTTCATAGTTTCTTTAACTGGGTTAGAGAGGGGGAATACGTGGATGTGACGATGACAAATGACACAGAAAAAGCAGTGATGCAAATCAAACTTTAGAAAATCAATTTTAAAATTGTAAAATTTAATTTTAATAATTAAATTTTGCTGAAAATTGATTTAATCTAAATATATAATATTAATGTGAATCACACATTTTTTTCCACCCAATTTAATCTAAATTTGAATACCATTTTTTCGCTTTAAGGTTTTCCTCGAGTTCTTAAGAAAGCAGACATTAAATATCTGATCAAGATGTTTACTCTCTCGTATCATTTTGCAATGGTCTTTAATCTCTCTCGCTCTCTTTCTCTGACATTTGCTTAAACGATTCGCTTTCTCGCCTGAAAATTAGTGACCGCGAACAACGACGTATAAATATAGAAAACTTTTTTGTGTGCCTGCATGGTCTCTTTCCTTTTCGCGACACGCGTTTAATAATTAAGCAAAAACGTGTATGAAAAAACGCGGAGAAAAAAATTGAAAAAAGCAATCGAGAGCGAAAGAAGCCGGTCTGAAAGTCTAATGACCAGACACGACGAGAACCTATCGAGTTAAACATTGACAGCTACCGATTCTACTCGTAATCAGATGAATAGAGTTGAAGACTGATTAATTATTATCATTATTTACGTGCGTCAAACACGTATATATTCTATAAAAAAAATGTTGCCTGTTTTTTGTCGTCTTGACCTACATTTCTTTTGATAGATATAAATGTATATTTATATTCATAAAACTTTACAGAAATTACACAATACTTAGGTAACTTCTCTGATTTGCTATCATAAATATTTCCTGTTTTATGAATAATTATGATTAAACTACATTAATTATAACTATATATTTTTTAATTTTCCTAATTTTTCGCAATATTTAAATCATATTCTGATTCTTTTCAAAGCGTATCATATTGATAGAGTTTAATTGAAAAAATTTATATTTTTGTTGTTCTCGTGGATGACATACGTGGAAATAATTGAAAAGAAAAAGATATGGCCCTTCTTCTATGTCATGTGCAATCGAATTCGATCGTGCACATTTGCTGCATTCTTTAGTCACTGACTTATGATATTAATGATATTAGTCATTTTGCATGCGATCGTATAAATAGTAAGTTTCGCGTGCGAAATGTCATTTCCTGTATTGCAAGGAGATTACATCAACTAAAGCAATGTTGCGTTAGAAGTAATTCTAGAATATCGTGTCTGATATTCACAATTGTATTCGAAGAATTTCCGTTGACCAAATTTTTTTAATAGTAGGGATTCTGTCAACAAGAGGAAATCCGTTCGGCCACGTTATGCATTTTGCTTAGCGATTGCATTATCATGCATAACATTATGCATAGATAATATAATCTAATAAATGAATATTAAATCTTATCGATATATACACGAAAGAAGATAAGACTTACCCGTGTGTCCAAAACTTCCATTATCTTCTCTTTCGCTGTCCGTACGTCATCTAGTCGTCCTGCGACTTTTATGTGCGGATCTGCGAAGAAGAGACAGAAAATTTAATTGCAGTAATGTTCGCGTGGGAGTAAGAAGTGACAGATCGCGCCTCTATTACACTGAGCAATCAATTATAATTCTCTTCGTTAATTATACGCTAAATTCTATTTCGTCACTAGAAAAATAACTGATAACCGAAAAATAATTCACTCTTTTACATAGCAAATCTCCGACTCTTAGAATACAAAGTAAATTCTTCAAAAAATTATTTTATAATCCCATTCATTTTATATAATTTCGCGTAATTTTTTACTTATAATATATTTTTTCGATTAACTAAATTTTATAAGCAAAGGAAACCTCGAATAATTTTAAATTTTGAAAAATTGAAATTTTCGGTAAGATTTTATTGACACTGTTTCAACTACTTATACCAAGTTTAATCAACAACCATCGAAAATGTTAGTTTGTTACGAGTTGAACAATTTTTCTTAGAACGTGTAGAATCATTCCCTCGTAAAGACGACGAACTCATTACTTGCCTGATTAGATGTGCAGCGATGACGTCATTGACATATACGAAAATAACGCTAATAATACTAATATTGATTCAATAAAAATATGGTCGGTGTCGACACATTGTTGTTGACATACAAAAAACGGTGAATATTTATGTTGATGAATATGTCAATGCGGAAAAATACGCATTGTCGGTCAAACTTGATGACGGTGAAATTATGTCGTCACGAGACCTTTTTCTCGTTGATTAAATTGCGAAACTTCCGAAAAATGATAATGCGTAGAACCGTGAAAATAATAAGACGTCGCTAAAGAGACAGAAGAGGTTTCGAAGTCAATTTTAGTATTCGCGAAGCGCAGGCGCGCTTCTTCCTGAATGCAAGGCCTTCGACTGTACAACGTGTTCCAAAGTCGAGTGCGATGATGCGTCATGGACGCTGCATAATAATCGTGCTCGTTCATACACGTCTTACTCGCTCTTTGTTTCTTATCTCTCATGTATATGATTTAATAATTAATCTATTTACGATGATTGAAAGATATTAATCATTAAACGCGAATAAACTATATGTGCACACAAGTGTAAATAATTCCCTACGTATGCTTACGAGTGCATGACTGTGCACTAATTATATTGTGAAATCGATTTTTGTTTGACGAATTTTCGACTGATCATTTTGCAGTTATTTAATAATAAACATTAGATTAGTTTCACAAAATAATAAAATGTAAATTGTTGAACGTTTAATTATTAATTAATTAAGCTATCATATTATTTTTATGAAATCTAAAATTAGCAACTATTTTGAATTAGAAATTATTTCGATCGGAATCTATTCGTCAACAGAAAAAATCTCCCTCGTGAAGAAACAAAAATACATTCTAGAGACTTTGCAATCAAAACAACGATATCATATCGTCTCATTAATATTCTCATGTCACAAAATTTGCTTTTAATCGTTCGTTTTTTATCTCTCTCTCGCTCTTTCTCTTTTTCTTGAATAATAATTATGTAACAAGCATCGCGCGGAAAACAACACGTATTATCATCATGGAAACATCTCGCATTGCTCTCTCGAAAATTAAAATGTGATTGAATTCTCTTTTCGATTAAAAGTGCTTAGGTGGCTCTCGAAAACGCTGCGTAAATGCAATCATCTATCACTTCTCTCGCGCGCAATTTGAATTATTTTTAGAATCGACGCGACGGTAGCGAATTCTTCGACGCAAGACTTTAAGGCCTGACCTGACCTCTTTAGCTGCGTCGCGCATAGAAAGTCGACAAGTCGTCCTGTTTGAACAAAGCGATAAGGAGTTACCGTTGCAATAATAAGAGCGAAACAGGTGTAGGAGACTCATCTGATATGATACAGAGTGCATCTTAAATAGAACGCACATCGTTAAATTTTGATAAATTTACGGAAGAGAAAACTCTATGGAATACATATGAGAAAAAATAATGATAATATTGTGAAACAAAGCAAAGAAAAATTGTAATGACAAATATAAGGGTGAACTAACAATTATTTAAAAATACAACACATTTGTATCTGAGAGTCACGAAAATCATGTTGTCTATAAAACAAGAATGCAAAAATTATATATATAAATTACAAAAATGAATATTAATTGAGACATTTAATATTGATATTTTTTTAGAAAAAGATCGCGTATTTAAAAAAAATTAATTTTTATCAAAAAATGTCTTCTTTATCAATTTGTTTTATTGGCTATTCTATATGCAGATTTTCAAGAAGAATCCATTGCTAAAGTCAAAGTGAATTTGATTAAGTGGAATCGAGTATTTCCCTTCACGACACTTCCCCTTACTGATAATTCCATTTTATACGATCTCGGTCGAGAATGAAATTAATCGGACAATGTGATGAAACGGTAATACTACGAAGTCACGCGATATCTAGTTTTCAAGTTCTTTTGTGCACTTTGTAAATAAGAGAAACAAGCATTTCTCGAGATATCTATGGACTAACAATAAGTACAACTGCGACGTTCGAATAGAAAACTTATTCATTTATTTTAAAATCAGCTTCGATTTAAACGTAAGCTTCTTATCTTTCCAGCTTGTTTCTTGGTTTTAGACTTTCTAAATGTAAATTATGAAGATAAAACATACCAAATAGTTTATTTAAATTATTTTTTTTTAATTAAAAGTCTATTTAAAGTAGTTTTAATTTTCATTTCTTTTTTCTTTTGATAGCACAATGAATCATATCTGTCTAGTCTTCGAATTAAAATAATAAATATTATAAGTCCTAAGACTATAGTTTTATCACCTAAAAACAGCATGGCTTACGTGACTCGAGGCACATCTGCAGAAAAAAATTAGAGCGATGATACTGATTGACTTAATTCAATTGCAAGCAATTATTTGGCTGATTTGTGACTCGACTGGAATCTTGATCTTGCTGCGTAAAATTTGTGTTGACGGTTTCGAGAGCGGGTCAAATCTCGAGGAGATATCCTATCGCGGTATAGGGGAGATAACTCGATATATATCTATTAACCTTGAAAGCACATGTTGTGAATCAATTTGACCTAGTCGCTGCTTGAAATACAAAATCTATTTCGATTATATCTGTTGATCAAATTACAACATCGTTTATACTAAATTAATACGTGAAATTTTCAGTATTGTTCAACATTTCTTAAATTAAAAATCATTATATTTATGATAAATAATTCATAATTCATTGATTAAACTGCAATCAAATCTTTCAAAACTGTTTGATTTTTTCTTTCTTTTAGAATGTATTTTCTTGATTATATATCTTATTAATAATATCATTTCTTAAAATTGTATTTGAGAAAACATTGTACATTTTAATGATTTAATTAATCAACTTAATTCAGTACTGGTATACTAAGAACATTTAATCCAATTTCGCTAAATATTTTATATAATTGAGCGAAGTTTAAACCTGAGTAGTATTCTAATCAATTCTGCTTGCGAAGTTTATCGACACGCAAATTGCTGCCAGTCATTGATTGTTTTGCAATTACATTTGAGAAATTATTAAAACGATCATAATGAAACTTATGAATGGCTTATTAATAATCAGTATCATGTATCTACAATATATCGTATGCATATTTGTAGAATAACTCTGACGATAATCTGGAATCATGAGCAACAAGATATGCGAGTTTATTTATATTAGATTACATAAATTGCTACGTGTACATTTAAAAAAAAGAAAAAGCAAGCGAGAAATAACGAGAGAGAGAGAGAGGAAGGAGAGAAATGCAACAGCTGTTCGCGAAGGAGGGATAAATCACCGAAAAATTTCCACGAAGTCCGATCGAACGTTCCTTTGAGCAAGCGAGTGAACGGTGGATCGATTCATGCGTCGTGTAATTTATTTGTCGAGAGATAAGTGACGAAATAATATCTCACAATTGACCTGAAGAACGCTCGGACGATCGACTAATCAATCGTGCCACAAGATCTGTTTGGAATTCTTGAATATTTATCGCGTCCTTTCGAAATTAAATACGGAAATTGTCGTTTTTCTTATCCGAAAACTTTTTATTTTGGTGACGTAATTAGTTTTAACGAATCGTCACAAGTCAGCAGGTTGTAAAATGATTCATGACTAAAATTATATTATGTAACATGAAATTCACGGCTCTCTCTCTTTTATTAAATTATCTTTTTTTTTCTACTGAGAATCTATACGTATCACAGAATTTCACAATTGAATACTTTAGTAAAATTTTGGGAAAAAAATTAATCTCTCTTCTAACTTTAATTAAATAAAAAATTTAATTTCTATCAAAGAAAGTTTTTGTTTTGGTTTTGATTAGATGGAATTAATTTAAAAATTATCTGTAGTGTACAGATTTTTTTACGACAATATACGATTACACAGCATCGACGATAAAACTTTAAATGGCGATTGTAAACGTGCGCAACTTGTCAGCTGACGAAGAGGCGCGACCCATTCGATTGACGTAATCCACGAACAATGACGCGTACTCGACTCCGAATGTGACGAATTTGACAAGGTAAAAGATGATTTTTGTGTTTTTTTGCGGCAATCTTTTAAGGATGAGTGATGCACCGAATCTTAATATCGTTTTATCATTGTTAATCAAATCGTTTTCGAATTCCCAATTTGTTAGCATCACATTTCTCGATTTGTTATGTAGAAGATTATTATTTTTTTACAATTTGTTAGTAATTTTAGGAATAATCCGATTATTAAATTAAAAATTATAGAACTTAAAATTTCTAGTAATTTTTTAAATTAAGTAAAAAATAATATTGTGTATCTGATTATATATATTTTTGCACGCGTTTGCATTCGTCGATGGATTTTGTCTATGACGATGAGGATAATATTGTGCTAAATGAAGTAGAAACGAATCAGTCATTTTAGAAAGGACATTGCGCCCAAGTTCTTATTTATCAGAGAAAACATGAAAAAAACATTCATTGATATTAAGACAACAAATGACATCTTATTACCATATGATCGTATAATGACTGTAATTAGTAGACTAATGGCTAAGACAGTATATATAATATCTTCTTTACACACAAAGTAAGTGAAGATCTTACTTTTCGGCTATTAATGTAATTACAGTAATTATATGGATATACGAGAGAGAAAGTTACGCTATAAACTGCCGTCTCTAGAAGTTTGAATATTTTTGAAACGCTACATAAAACAACAACATGATGCGGTAAAAATCTAAACTTTTTTTTCAATGAAATTTTTCCTCGCAATGTGTAATCGATAGATAACACATCAATTATTATTGAATTACATCAGACGATCACATGTTTGATAACTTTCATACCTTTCTTCGACTTTGCTCCAATCTTCAATCGCGATGGCCACGTAACAATAGTATTTGTTCTTTCCATAACCTGTAACAATGTGAAATTAATTATAGGATTAATAACTATCCATCAGATGGTCTATTTTCACATGAAAATTGTTTTTTCCCACGGTAAAGAAAGGTATGCGCATCTAATCTTTAAGATAAGATTAGATATCATAAAAAGCTTCGGAAAGATTCGAAGCATTTTCTATTCTTCTTTCCTTTGTAGATAAATTTGAACATTATTTTTTATTTTAATTTTTTATTTTGATAGACTAATGATGGATTACATATTTCATTATTCTTTTTAATATTTTTGAAAGTTTTTTATATAATACTTAAATAATGAAAATGACAATAATTCATCACTTAATAAGATCTTATCAATCTTTTGAATTATCTCATTTTTTCTGCATAACTTTCACGAGTATTTAATCTTTTCAACACGTAGCTTTTAATTATCAAGAAAAACACACTGAATGTTCGGTTTTGTATACGAGAGAGAACAATTACTTTTATACTTTCGAGATTTTAAAAATTTTCTAGTTATTTCATTTTTTATATAACTTTTTATATATAGCCTCCAATTCTAGATGAACAAATTTATTTTTAACTGCAAATTATTCCGTCATGGAATATTATTGAACAGTTTCCATACGTGTTACTAAAATATAAAATATAATATATTCTTTAATTAATCGATTGACGCGATGAAAATTATTTAAAAGGTCTACAGAGATTTAAATGAAAAAAATTTAGATAATTGAAACTCGGAATATGAAATAAAAAATAATTTTTCTCATCTATTAATTTCAATCTTCATCTTTATTTCGATCTAATTTTACGCGAAACTTAATTACCATAATATTTAATATTTTCGATTTTCAAAGATTATAAAATAACGATAGGCGATTAAATTTGTATTTAAGAAAAATGTACTTTGAAATCTTCAAAGATTTTATTGTGTAGCTAAGAATATCGTTCTACATGTAGTTTCTATCTTTAGACAAGTCTTCACCTCTTTAAATTATTAAGCTCCGACATCTTCTTCTAACTTTAGACAAAAGATAACTATATTTTTAGACCTGAATACGTGTGTATATGTGTGTGTTTGTGCACGCACATGTACGTACACATGCGCGTTTACTCGTAATTTCAAAGAAAATTCGAATCAGCAATTATATTAACTATGAATCACTAGACACACAAAAGCATAGAATTTATAATCATGAATTATCTTGAGTTTATTTAAAATTAATACTCGGAGAGAATAATATTATTACATATTATTTCTATAAATCTTCGGAAAACTTTCTAAAATTATTTCTAAAACTTTCCAAATAAATATATTTATATACCATACTGAGTTTTAAATGCAAGTGCTTAATTTACAATACAAAATAACGATATGCACTATTTTTCACGTGAAAGGAATAAAGCTCAAATTCGAACTAGTACGTAGCTAAACGCAAACTAGAATTCTCAACTGCCGACTGTAGACTGACCATGAACTTATTTTGTTTTCTACAACTACAATAATTTTTACCACTGTCATTTTCGTCGCAGCAAGTCGATGGTAGATGACTTTTTCATTCAGGCCTTTTCGAAGAATCGTTGTGAAAGTAGAAAAAATGAAGGCATTGTTAAACTGATAAAAGAAGAGGACAAGCAGGTCATCGATTATTCTTAAGCCCTAAAGAGAAAACGGCATTCTCGAATTCTAAAAAGAAACGTCACTTTTATGATACGAATACGATAACTTGGACCTTCGGCTAGTTTTTAACAAACACTAAGACGATTAATCACGAATCTAGATAAAAATTTACTTTCACTGTATAGTCACTGTTAATCGCGATAAAGTAAAAGATCCCGGAAGGTCACGTATGCGGTCGTTAATTTGACTAATTAATTTCTATTCGAGGTTCCACTTTGCGACGAAGATAATTTTATCTATGAGTTTGTCGACCTCACAATCGGTCTTTAACGACGAACGAGAAAAGAGAATAATTTCCAGTCATAATTTTTGTACCGGATCGCTGCGGCATTCTGCGTCGAAGGTCATCGATTGATTCTCAATCTTGATCGTGATTTTCATTTGTGCAACTTTCTGCTTATCACTGTACTTCTTAGCTATCACTCGATGCACTTAGATATCACTTTGTGAACGTCGCGATAAATAAACCTGTTGTGCGAAGTGATTCTTTCACCTGTCCCGATTTTTCCAATTTGTCTGCAATTGGATTCGGGATCGCACGTGAGTAATCAAGGTTTTGAGTGCAATTTTCCAAAGTTAAACTTTTGGAGATTTACCAGGAGATCACCGACGCGAAGGAAAACAGACTGACTAACTGACTAAACGCGGAGATATAATATAATGGTCGGTCTGGTCGATTCCCTCTCCAACTACTTGGCGTTTCTCCCGCCACCAGTCACGACTCCACACTATGTTGCTTGCTCGTCTGGTCATCGTAATCCTGCCCTTCCTCCTCTTCCTTCCATCACATTTTTCCTTCTTCCTCTTCAACTTCCTCTATCTTTCCGAGCCCACGCGTTGTGGCAAAGAAATATGCCACTTGATGACCTTAAAGGACGTGTGCGCATCCGTATCACTTTAATCTGACAAGCATAATTTTAAAGTTTCTCATCGTTTCGAGATATTGCGAATTTTCGAATTTTTGTCTGCCCGCTTTCAAGATTTACATAAATTAATTTAATTATTTAAAATTTCTCGTTAATATTTATTAGTAACTATATGCTATTAAATAGTATAGACTAATAAATATTTATTAGTAATTATATACTATTACTAATAAATATTATGTAGACCAAAATGTTGCAATATTTTTTGTATAATAAATTTTTTATTGCTTAAAAATTGTAAGAACTGTAAGAAAAATAGTAGTCTTTTTTTGAAATTCAAAAATTTCAAAAAGATAACTGCAATATTTTCCCCTACGCAACTATATAAATTATATAAGCACATTAGCATAGTAAACATGTCGACCACTAAATACTCATAAATTCTGTGGAATAACAGTGAATCATACCGATCGTGTCGTTAGTTGACACTCGCAATGCTATTCGTGTGTTTATATCAATTGGTACGCGATAACTTTTAGAATTTATTGCGACGAGAATATGAAATCATTAAAATATTTTGCATTTTTATTTTTCTGTTTTTTTGCTTTAAACATTTAGATTTAAATGTTTAAATTTAAAAATATTAAATTAATAAAATAAAAATTGACCTTTTTACAGAAAAATCTTAATAAAGAAACAAAAATGTCCGTGCAATAATATAGTATTTACAATATTGCAAATAAATGGAATAGCAAAAGATTAATGTACATATGCTTTGTATAAACACAAAATCGGAAAATAACGATTAGACATTATGATTAATTATATTTTTATTGTGAGTCAGTATGAATAGAAAATGAAAATTGAACGAGCATTTTTAAGGCCATAACCATTAGACGAAAAGTATTCATTCAGACAAAGCATTGTTTAAGGAAATATCAATACATCATTCACACAATTCTCTACAAAAAAAGACAATGTTAAGTTTTTGATTTTCAAAAGAAATATTTTTCCTTTCTAATTCTTTCTAAAACTTTCTATTTTCCAGGTAAAAAATTTTACATTAGGAACTTAAGAAAATATTTTCTTAGGTATGTACATCAATAGTTCTGCACAAAGATAAATTTATCTTTTTCTATAAATAGTACAATGTCTAAATATATACTGTCATAAATTCACGATTTGCACGTACTATCGTTTTAAATCGAAAATTTTCTTTTGAATCACATATTTTTGTGTTAAATAATACCTAAGATACTTTTGTTCGAATTCTTTTTGCCTCACAAATTATCCCAAGTTGTCAATTATATTTCTTTTTTATGAAATCCACAACCAATTTCATCCTACAATGGAAACTAAAATTCTATATATTTCCATGATTTTTGTAAGTTATAAAATTAAATATATCAAATAAATAAAAATAGAAATTAAATATGAATATATAAGAAGATCTCATATGTTGAACATTTTAAAAATATAATCTCTATTTACGTTTAAATTAGTAATAATAATTATATTATGTTGAAACTCGTCTAATCTCCAATGCCATTTAAGGCAGAATATCAATGTAATTATCAATCTTAATTGATTTATAATGTTTTTAGTTTTTGAAGTTTTAATTTTTATATTTCTTTTTTACTTTTATTTGTGATTTGATTTATCTCTGTAAATGATTTGCAAAATTTTTTTGCGAACGAACACCGGAAAGAATTTTGATGTTGAAAAAGTAATGTTATGTTAAAAATATGTAGATGTTATTTGTTAGCTGTCATCCGTCATCTACATTGCTATAGTTTCGCGAACGAGCGTCTTATTCTCGAAACAAAGTAACAAAGATTGAAATTACGCGAGTATAAGAGTGTTTCTTGCAATAAAACTGCGGAGACTGTGCATCGTTGCGATAAACGAAATTATCGTGAAGACATGCGGTACTTTATCTTCAGCTTGCACGAGTCACTGATTAGAGAATAAATATGCATGAGAGGCGAGTCGATATAAAAATACCATTTAATCATATGTGTATCGATTGCACAACAAAGTTAACGAATGAAAGAAAATTGACGAAGACATTTAAACTGATTGATTCACTCTTTATATAACTTATATTCTATTTCATTAATCATGCATTAGTGATACTTGATGATAGTCTTAATTAGAAATTTATATATGTATAGTATTTAACTGAATGATTCTGAAAAATTAAGCTGTAGACTCACAGAATTTTTTTTTCTTAAATTATCAAACTGGCTTTATAACTTTTAGAACGCTATTGATCGATGTAATCTACCCTAACTTGTAAGTATATTTAAAATCTATTTGATATAAGTTTGTAACAAACAGTTTAAAGAAAGGTTGCTGATCTTATAATACTTAACTAATAAAGATTGAATCTATCAGCGCGATACGCGGTCAGAGTATGTTATTGCTGCACAAAGTATTGACTTAGTTTACACCACATTTCAAAAACTTACACACGTATAAAAGGCTCCATATATCACAAACTTTCACCGATTTAATCGTTCAAAAAAATACCAGATTAGATTAAAGTGTACATACATACATTTATTTGCGCAATAAGATATCTTGTTTTAAAACGAGATATTTATTGCATCTGTAATTACACATAAACTAATTAAGAAAAACTGTATTGAGAGAAGACTAAAATTATCGAAACTGTTTTTTCTTTCCTCTGTTAAATATGAAATGTAATTTGCAGAGATGATCTCTCAATTTATTGATTGAATCGAAATGTCGATTCTCTTGATGCAATTTAATATTAATAAATTAATCTCCGGGTTGAAATATTTCGAGCCGCTTTCACGTGTTATCATTGCATATATTATTATCGCCATTTTCGGCGCGTATGTCGCGACACATTGCGCATATGATTTCAAATTGTAAATCTGATTCGAGCGAATCAACATCGAATGTGTATCGAGGACTGTTCGAATGAAGATTACGAATTGCGTAATTATATTTTCCATACGAGCGTGTGTTCGTGCACGTGTATACTAGATTAAACTTTGCGAAAACATAGATAAAGCGCACGCTTAAATTGTTATTCAATCGATAGAACGAGTGAACGGATATCAAATTGATAAACAAATCGCGAGCTACGATTGTGCATTGATCAAAAATATTCCGCGAATTTTGCATATGGAAAAATATGCAGAATGCTTGAGTTTTCTTATACGTTTATTTTTATCCGTAGTAATTCTCGATGTTTTCAATTGTCTCTTATCTGAAACAGATACCAGTTGAAAATTGACACCTTAATTGATTATGACGAAAATCTCTAGTAGTACTATTGCACTATATCCGTGAATATTTAAAAGTTTCGAGCATCTATATCTACAAAGCGTATCACAAAATCAATATTGCCTATCTGGAGAAGTCACATATATGCAACAGATATTAATTGGCGAAACTGTGACTAGCAGTATGCGCGATATCTCGGTTATTGTTATCGAGAGCCAACAGCGGTCAAAGATTATACGGCGCTATAATTAAAATGACAGTTTCGTCATCGAAAAAGAGAGACGGTAAAACGAGCAACGTAATCGTCGAATTTAAAATGCGTCATTCTATATAACGCGTGTTCGAAAAGATTGTCGCATTACACATCGACGACAATATCGGTATATATATATATATATATATGTCGCCGATATATGTAATTGCTTAAAAGCGGTGGAACGACGGTGCCGTTAATATTAAAGCCGTTCTATAAATAATCAACCGGTGTATTTCCAGCCCCTCCCCCCTTACGCAACTTGCACTGCCGATAACGATAAGCGTGAACATTGCCTTCGAACTCCGCTCGGTGAATGCTATAAAGCACTGCGGGCCGCGAGCGGAACGCTCGCGGCTTTTTCCTAACGCGCGCGATCTTCTCTCTTATTTCATTTTCATTCATTTCTTTGTTTAATCTCTCCAACAATACACCGGAATTCCTCATCTGATGAATAATTTCGTAAATATATATTTCTGTTTTTTTTTTATAATTAGTAGCAGAAAAAAAAAGATTATTCATAATTAAATTAAGCAAACGCAAAAAAAATATATTGTGTAAAATTTGAAATATAAGAAATGTGTAAATATAATATAATATTAATATTATATAATAAATATAATATTAATATTACAAATTTTTCTTTTCGTAACACGCGCGATCTTCTATTTAAGTTTCATTCATTTCTTGGTTTAATCTCTCCAACAATACACCGGAATACCTCATCTGATGAATTTTCATAAATATATATATGTATATCTTTTTTCTTATAATTAGTAGCAAAAAAAAAGATAGATCAACAGGATTACTCATGAATAAATTAAGGAAATTCAAAAAAATATATTATGTAAAATTTGAAATATAAGAAATGTAAATATAATATCAATATTACATAATATTAAATAATGCATAAAAAATTATGCATCGTTGGTGTATATATTTCACAATTTTATCCAAATTATTCCATCTAGCAACTTCGAACGCATACATGTATTATATTCTTCTTTGTCGTATTTAATTCGAATTTAATTAGATAAAAATGTATTATTCAGTCGGCACTTCCTGCCGTTATCGCGATTATGTAATTCCTCAATCATACCCTCATTCGTGCGGGAATGAAGCGCGATCGGTTTTCTCTATTGAGTTATCGGATGAACGAGGAGAGTAGAAGGAGAAAGTTTATATAGTGTTACGTCCAAGATCCGTAAGCTTCCTGCTGCAGGCTCATTTCGCTATACGATTGTAATTTCGCGTTATGTTATCACATATGACGAGGAGGAAAACGAACGAGTTTTTGTTGCTCGTTCGAATTTCTCCTTTCGTCGTAATCCAAATTTTTCATGCGTCTTGTCATCGCGGAAAATCGATTGCTCTACCGGTTCTTCCGCAAAAAGGGATCTCTAATTTCTATTTCTATGGTCACTTTGTTTTAACTCCTACTAAATGATTGAGCATTTTAGTCGATTTAATATAGGAACTTGATTTGTAATTTTCTAAATATTTGTCAAAAATATATACATAGGATATTTTTTTATATATTTGAAATTTCTTATATTTCTATTAAATTTATAAAACTTTTTTCCCGTCTGCAATTTATCGTCATAATAATAATAATTGTCTTCTATTCTATCATAGAAACTTGATTTGTAATTTTCTAAATATTTGTCAAAAATATATACATAGGATATTTTTTTATATATTTGAAATTTCTTATATTTCTATTGAATTTATAAAACTTTTTTCCCCTCTGCAATTTATCGTCATAATAATAATTGTCTTCTATTCTATCATAAACAGAAATGAGATAAATCCTAAAGCAGTAAATGGAAAACAAATCAAATGATTAATTGGCAAGCAATATATTTTATCTCGAGACAACCTTGTGCAAAAATTGCATTCGATGATTCGATTTTCGAAGTATCGAAAATTAAAAGGGAAGCTTATTACTGCTATCAGCGAAGGAATCGTAGCTCGCGCAACGTAACGCGAGTTATCGCGAGTTGCGACGCAAGGCGAAGATACGTAAAAATAGCCTCTTTCACTTTCGCATAATCGCAAGGTCAGTGCGACGCTGCTTCGATAAGAAGACGCTTCGCTTACGTTGACATAACTCTAAGCACGATTAGCGAAATCGCGCAAATTAATTATGATATTTTCATTAACCCTTTCGTGCCACAAAACACCCAAAGTATCCATCCTTGACAGAAATTGTAGAATTCTCTTTCTCTCTCACACACACACACACACACACAGACGCGAAAAGGGAGAAACTTAATTTTGTTGTCTGTTAACCAGCACGAAACCCGACTTCGTGTCGGAAGTAATTCCTACGTGGCAATTAAATGAAGAATCACTTATCATAATCGTGCATTTCTACATTTGCTTCCTACAGAGTGAAAGTTACAGAAATTATATGTATTATTTGTAATTCCTTTGGTGCCCATATAATTCAAATATGATAATGAAAAACAATGTTTCCTTCCTTCAAGTCGCGTAATGCACCAGTGATTTACTACAGTGATGTACAATGAGTAAAAAAGATAACATATAATACATAAAAATATAGATAATTGTGTGAAAGAAATTGTTCTAAATAAATATCCCCTCGACATGGAGTATAAAAATCAGGTTTTTTATACATTTATTTTATAATTAATTTATTATCCAGACAATATATTTCGTTTCTTTTTAATTAACCTTTATCTGCTTTAAAAAATAAGCTTATTAGCTTATCAATATGCCACATCTTGGTGAAATATTTTAAAATTTATACAATTAAATCAGCATGAAAGACAAGGAACTTATACCGAACTTACATCAAGAAAGATCTTTTATAGACGAGAGAAAGGAGTTGCATCATCTACTATCACGATTTATCTTACGTGTCGCTTGTCAGCAGTAGTTGGATAGAAAGTTCTCACTAATCGATCAATGAAATCTTCGCGATGAGACTTCTTCGTGTCGAGGGTTAAGCAAGCAAATACAAAATCAACGAAATGTCAGCAATCGCATCTCTGATACTTCTCTTAATGCATGGTTATTATTGAACATACAATGATAATAAATATTATTATATTTTCATCTTATATCTTTTTTTATAATCAAGTATTATATAAATTACGCTAATTATAGAACTTGCAGAAGAATCAGCAATTTTAAACGATTAAGTCTAATTGTAAGAAATATACATATATATGTATATATAGAAAGAGAGGTGGAGGAAAAGAGAGAGAGAGAGAGAGAATTCTATGAGATATATTAATTTGAAAAATTGATTTAACTACTTTTGAACAGAAACATTTGGCACATCTAAAAAATGAAAATAAAAAAACTTACACCATGGAAGAAAGTATCCGCCGGTTTGACATCACCTGAAAATGCAAAGATAAAATTAAAATAATTTTCAAGCTCGGAGATTATTTTTTTTATTTATGTATATCTTTATTTATTTCCATTTTATTATATTGTCATATAAAAAATTCTAGCCTCAAGAATTCTGGATAATTTAAATAATCGCATATTTTCGTCCTGTGTTTGTATATAAAATCATTCACCTGAAATTTGCTCTAAATATGTGTATTCGATAAGTAAAATAGATTTATACGCCATCACGATCGATCGAGCGATATTATAAGACACAAAACAAGAGGCTTGACAGCTGCTATGTAATCCCGTTTACAAACAAGCTGTCTATTTAAATCGTGATTCCAAATATATTTTGCATATGCAAATAAGAGCAATAAAACGAACGATCAGCAAAAATCGCCCCTTCCTCGATCTGAATAATCTAAGTTGATCAGGATTAATATTTCAATAAAAATCAACTATTACGTTAAAAATAAGAACTCGTTGCGATTAAAAATACAAATTTCCCAAGCTTGATATAAGAGTCGATGTATAAGAAAAACATCGTAAGAAAAAATGTTTTACTTTTCTAAATTTCTTTTAGACCTTCGTATTGTGATTAGACAATAATATTATATAAAAACAATTATCCCACAAATATTTAAATTTTATTTTTCATTATTTTCATTGCTCTTAATATTTAATATTTCGAATCAAATAGACGCTAAAACCGTTGACAACGAATTTTTTAGCCTTTCTCAATAATTTTGAGATCGCGGGTGATTTTTGTTATACTTGGTTGGTCGGAAAATTTGTCGCTTTCGCCGGCGCGAAAAGGTGACGAAAAGGAATCGAGTTCGACGGGAAAGCGAAAGTAGATATCGCGATACTCGTTCCGCTTCTCGAGTGTTATGGACACTCCAGAGGCAATAAAGCGATAAAGGACACTGGAGTGTCGAATGTATATCGAGAACGAGGAAAGGTTAAGCGCGAAATACATAACGACCAAGTTATTGTCAGGACCGTGGCCCGTATAAGACGCATGATTTAACGCTGAATGACGGTAGCGATCGTGCAAGGCCGAGATTAAATCGTAGAAAACTGAAGAATCGTAATAAAAATAAGTGCCAAATTGGAGCACGTATACGAATTTATCAATCTAAAATTTGCTCGAAAAAAAAGTAATACATAATATCTAACTCGTCGAGATTTTCAACTGGTTGTAGTTGAAAAGGCAAGTCGTTCTAGTTGACTACTTAATTGTGTCTATCTTCATAATATCTCTACTTTCTTTAATAACCCTCTCGCCCCTCCTTTCGTCCTCTCCACGACTTGTCTCGTAATCTGATATTAATACTCAGGAGAAAGCGCGATAGTCTTGGGACACTTTATATACTCCACGTCACGATAAATAGATTGGATTGATATCCTTAATATTTTCTGTAGCGTATTTAAGTCAGTCAAATTCTCTTTATGTGATCATCTCTTCAATCTGTTCGCCATCAATGTCATTTGCTATTTCGTATATAATCGTATTATGATACAATCGTGTTTTATGTTTTCTCAGCAAACACAATTTATATATACTTCAAGATTTATTTGTAATTTATAAGATGGAATATTTCTTCTTCTCACGACTAATTCAACTCTGATATTAAATTCGCCGCTAAAGACCGGTTTATTTCTATATATTTTTTCGCTATTTTTATATATATATTTAGATACATTTTTCCGATTATTTTTATATAATTTTTTGGTACACCATAAAATCCTATAAAATTCGTTGCTAAGACTGGTTTATTTTTATATATTTTTCCGATTATTTTTATATAATTTTTTTGTACACCATAAAATCCTATAAAATTCGCTGCTAAGACTGGTTTATTTTTATATATTTTTCCGATTATTTTTATATAATTTTTTTGTACACCATAAAATACTATAAAATTCGCTGCTAAGACTGATTTATTTTTATATATTTTTCCGATTATTTTTATATAATTTTTTTGTACACCATAAAATCCTATAAAATTCGCTGCTAAGACTAGTTTATTTTATATATTTTTCCGATTATTTTTATATAATTTTTTTGTACACCATAAAATCCTATAAAATTTGCTGCTAAGACTGGTTTATTTTTATATATTTTTCCGATTATTTTTATATAATTTTTTTGTACACCATAAAATCCTATAAAATTCGCTGCTAAGACTGATTTATTTTTATATATTTTTCCGATTATTTTTATATAATTTTTTTGTACACCATAAAATCCTATAAAATTCGCTGCTAAGACTGGTTTATTTTTATATATTTTTCCGATTATTTTTATATAATTTTTTTGTACACCATCAAATACTATAAAATTCGCTGCTAAGACTGATTTATTTTTATATATTTTTCCGATTATTTATATATATATATTTTTTTTCGTACGCCACAAAATCCTCTAAAATCTCGATACTGTCGACGATTTTCGCGAAATAATGCTTTCGATACTCACCGAGAAGCATCTGTTCCAGCTTACGACGATCCACCCGGAAGCGCTCCTGGTGCAGGTCCTCAGGGTCGCCGATGCCCAGCAGGACCGCGAGATCGCGAAGCTCCTCGCGGCTCTCGAGGCCGGACTTCCCGGACACGCTGGTGGTCGCGGTGCCCTCCGACGTCTCCGACATCGTCTCCGCCGCCCTGCGTTGCTCGCCGTTATTCACCACCATCTCGTCGGGCCTCATCCTGCCGACGAGAGACGAGTCCGCCGCGACCTACGTCGGGACGCTGCCGAAACACAGCAAAGGTAATCGAAATCAAATTTCCTTCATTTTCGATCAAAGGGATCAATTTTTCGCGCATTTTGTTCGATATATTTGCCGCGTTATTCGTCTGAAAAGAAATAAAATCCGACCGGCAAGAGTGGTCTGGCTAAATCGGATATGGTATTCTGGAGGAATGTTTTGGGGTGGAGTGTCTCATATACACATCCTGACATGTAATATATTTCATATCGCTATTAAATAATATCTCTAAATGATATCGCGATCTGATGGATCGCGTGCGGAAGATTTCGAAATTTCGTTCTCGCGCGTCCTCGAGATTGCTTCTTCCACGTGTGCGTCATTGTTGAGGTGGAAAGGCGATTTTCGTCACGTTTCACGAAAAGATGCGATCACGTTGTTGTCCGTGCTCCACGTGCATCCCACGGAGGATTTAATCAGAATCACGCGGATCACGTGAACTGTCCTTTCGGCGCATAATTTACGCAGCAGCATTTCTCATGGTGCCTATGATGCTCGTCCTAAATAAATCTGCCTGAGTAAAAGTGCCGTTTCGGAGAAAACGAGCTCTGAATTGCGCTATTATTTATTAATTTTTCCCTCGTTTTTGTATATATAAAATTGAACGTTTCCTTCCGCATGCAGCAAATTCGCCGAAATTCCTTCATAATTCCGAGCAAAGGACGATTTGTTTGCTCCTGCATGGTTCATAGGGTATGCGGAAAAAAGGTAAACATCACGTAGGCAATACCAATCACGACGAGTCACGTAGACGTAATTTTATATTCTATTCGAAGAGACGCAAATTAAATCTGGCGAGTTCGATTATTAACTATGATTAATTATGAGAAATAGATAATTATTGAATAATAATTTAATAAATAATGTCGCACGTGTTATTATTTTATTTTTCGAATTTGGAAGTTCGGGAAAAAAGGGAGAAAAATATCGGCAAAGTTATTCGAATAATCGAAAAATCATTACTTCGTCTTCGGGAATCTTAAGTTTCGAAAAATAATTAGGAAGAGAAAAATATTGTTTCTTTTTTACCTACTAGAAAAAAAATATCATGGTCTCGATTAAAAATGCACCTTCAAAGATGATGTGGAAGATATATTTTATTTTTAGATACTTGTATTCTTTATTTTCGTATATAATTTCAAAATATACGTATAGACATCGGTAACATCGTATATTATTAAGTACGAACTAACGGCATCAGGTCAAACGTACAAACTGTGGGAAGCGTTGCGTTTAGAAAGAATAACATCACGTCACACGCGAAACTGTCGATTTCAAATAGAGAAATTAACAACCTTAATAAACAATACAAAAACACCTAGAGAGGGAAACCTAGAGAGGACACAGGATTTGCTCCAAAAAAAAAAAAAAAAAAAAAAAAAAAAGTAGCGGAGACGTTCGCGCTCTCTCGTTACAGGAAACAATCGGACACAGAGGACCAGAGCTAGGTACGGAACGAGGGTGTACTTGGTGGAGAAACACTTGACACATCTCACTGCCGCCCAGGAATCCGCGAACTGACCTGCACGACGACGATGACGCACTGTTGTCGAATCTATCAGGACGGGCCAGTCGCGGGGCCTGCGGTTCTGGTCCCGCCGGTGGGTCTCTGTCTCTTCGTCCCGGGTCTGGTCCTCGTCCTCGCCGCTGCTGCCGTCCAACTCGATCGGCGGCAGCGCTGTAACCCGCCTGTGTAATCGGCGCGAGCGAGCGAGCGAGCGAACGAACGAACGAGCGACAGCGGCGCGGTGTGAGGTGTAAACAAAGTAATGGCAGTGGTAAAAGGGGAGTTACCTGGGTTAGCGGGGTGCAAGGGGTCCGACAATCGGTTTCTCGGAATTCGGCCCGAATTTCGGGGTAAGCGCCCGGCCGCGGAGCCGGCGACCAATCGCGACGCGAATACCGAGAACGATTCACCCGGTTTTTGTCATCCCTTTGCTCAGGAGGGCTCCTCGCATCGGCGCCTCGCTACCGGACCTCGTATCGGTGTTGTAATACACGTATATATGTGTGTGTGTGTGAATATCTGTGTGTATACATGTATACGTATACGTGTACACATATTCGTATAGTCGAGACCTTCGTCGGAGAACGCCGGCAAAAAATTGTTTTCCTGGCCACGTGTCGGCGAACGGCGTGTATTACACGTCCGACGTGCCGAATTCATTTTCGAACGATTTCGCGCTTATGACGACGAAGAATCAGGAGCGGAATCGCGCAGGAAGTCCGGGGTCCTTCATTTTCCAGGGACAGTATCTATCGATTTATTTGCGCGCAGAAAGAATTTTCTCTTAGGATTTATATTGAAAGTTATGGTAATCATGGGACAATATTGTAGGAAGAATTTTATGAAAGTTTCTCTGATTGATATTTACCACGATACAAAAATAACTAACATGTACATGGTGAATTTTAGTATTGTAAAAAAGTTATTGATATTTACCACGAACACTTATTGTGATATTTTAAATCGATTTATTTGCGCGCAGAAAGAATTTTCTCTTAGGATTTACCTTGAAAATCATGGTAATCATGGGACAATATTGTAGGAAGAATTTTATGAAAGTTTCTCTGATTGATATTTACCACGATAAAAAATACTAACATGTACATGGTGAATTTTAGTAGTAAAATTAACCAAACACTTATTGTGATATTTTAAATCGATTTATTTTTCTCTTAGGATTTACCTTGAAAATCATCATTATAAAAATTCTTCCAATAAGGAATTTTAATTCTTATGAGAAAATTCTTTTCGTGTAGAACACACGATTGACGACAAAATTTTTCATCGATATATGAAAGATATTTTTAATAATGAGACAGTGTAAGCGGTATTGCAAAATATATTCAGAAGTATGTAAATTTTTGTTCGAAGGAAAATAATTAATTTTTCTTTCACAGAAATATTCTAACATGCGTGAAATATTCTCTTTCCTTCTAATCTTAAATTTAGTATAGAGTTTTATTCGCGACAATCTTATACGTTGTTTGATTATAATTTTAATAGAAGGGAGCAATTTAAAATTATCTGGTAACTGTTTGACAATCCACTTTATTTTACAAATGCTTATTTAATTGATTAATCAACATACGGGAAAAAATGAGCTATTATAGCTAAATTTTAGCTGTTCATATATTAAACATGAAATTTAGTTATCATGTCTAAAAGCTATGATAACTAATATATTTAGGCATGATAAATAAAATTTAGATTGTAATATTTAATAGGGACAACTAAAAGCTATGGCAGCTACGTTTTTATGGAAAAGAAAGTTGCAAATTTGAAAAGAGAGGTGTCGATTTTTCTTAACTAATCAGTTAAATTTTCAAAACTTCGTAATTAAGCTAATTGTAAGTGTAATGCATCTTACAATTATTCATACATTAATATAATCATTTTTTGTGTTAAGGTTTAAAATAATTAAATCTTTTTTTTTCGAAATATATAACGTAGAAGTTTAAATTTATTTAGACTTCAAAAATAAAATTTGTAATTTCAGCAGAATTAACCCTCTATCAGCAATCATTTTTTTACTAACGTCGCATCAGCAAATTAAATCTTTTAGTTCACCTTATATTATTTTTATATTTTAGACTTTCAAAAAATAGAAAAAATTTTGGATTGTTTGATAATATCCAATAGACTTTAATGCCAAATATTAAACCTAATTGTTTATACAAAAAGCGAAATGTGAACAGCAATTTGAAAAATAGAAAATATTCCGCATGTTATGTAAAAATGGAATATTCCGCTAATGTTATGTAAAAATGGATTTCGATTAAATCAGCTGGTTTCTCATATTATAGCTTATTTGCTAAACAAAAGATCAGTAATGATCTATCATTTAGTTTTGAATCTATTACATTTTTGTTCAGTAGATAAAAAACTACAACATATGAAAAAACCAGCAGATTTTACTAAGATATACAATTTTATATAGGATTAATGCGGAATTTTTTAAATATGACATGCCAGAGAAATTAAATCTCGGTAAAATTAGCTGATTTTCTCATATATTGTAGCTTATGATCTACTAAACAAAAAATTAAAAATGTAATAGGCTAAATAACAGACAGTTATACTGATTTATAACCAGATGAGTCAAATGTGAAAAACTCAGATTTTACGAATTGTTTAACCGGCTGTAACTCAGTAATTGTCCATTATTTATCTTTGCAGCTATTACATCTTTTATTCAGCAGGTCATAAACTACAATATATGAAAAAACCCAACTACATTTTCACATGAGATTAGTGCGGGATCTTGCTTAGTCTTGCTGGGTCTTAAAAGGCCCAGATTGATGAAGGGTTAAATTACAGGGAGGAAATGTGTTCGAACCTGTATGTATGGTATCAGAAATGCGTGTTTTGTACTATGTAAACTACAACATACGAAAAAACCAGCTACATTTTACATGAGATTATAGTGCGAGGTACTTTGCTTTGTTAAAAGGCCCGGATTGATGGAGGGTTAAATTACAGAAAGGAAATGTGTTCGAACCTGTTTGTATGATATCAGAAATGCGTGTTTTGTACTATGTAAACTACAACATACGAAAAAACCAGCTACATTTTTACATGAGATTATAGTACGAGGTACTTTGCTTTGTGTGTTAAAAGGCCCGGATTGATGGAGGGTTAAATTACAGGGAGGAAATGTGTTTGAACCTGTATATATATGGTATCGGAAATGCGAAATGCGTGTTTTGCACTTACCACTCTGGCGTAATCCATGCGCGCCGATCAACGCCGATGGAAGAGCCGCGTGTACCGATCACATGCCAATTTGAAAGCCGACTGACGCATGCACGCGAGAACGGAAAGTCAGCTGCAATCGCGACGACCGCGTCACCGGACCCTCCTTCGTTTTTCTAGCGAACGTCAACTCGTCGTCGCTGGTTCCTTCGCCCGATTACATCTCGCTCTTTCACCAGGCGCTGATGATTCTCGAACACGCGTTTCCTTTTTTGATACACGTCGCTGGTTCTTCGACTTTCTTTCTCCTTCTTTTCCTCGACAGATATTATCAGTCATTAGTCTTCATTGGGAGATTTGCTCTGGTATCGCTCTTTTATCTTTCTACACAAACGATAGGAAATTCTCTTTTCAAATTCTTTATCTAGTTGTATGGATACTTTCTTCCCAATTACACGTCCGCAGTTCCTTTTTGTGGATTCCTTTGCTTGAGTACACATTTTCCGCACAATTGACGTTCCTATGTCTGATTTTGCCTTTTTGATGCCTGATTCTCCTTTTTCATTGAGTGATCGTTTCAGCATTTCTTCCTATTTTGTTTGAAAATGAGCTTTTCTCTATATTATTTCTGATTAAATGCGATGTAGCAAAGAATTAAGAAGAAGTGTTTTGCTCCACAAGTATTTTTCAAGCTACATGTCGTACAACGCGATATCTAGCATACATGATAATGTTGCAAGTTGCAATTTTATTATGTAATGATGTAATAAAAATTTCCTAGAAATTAAATTAAACGACTAAAAAAAGATAATATACATATTTAATGATCAAATTGATTGATGAAGTTGCTAGAATTTTTTAAATTACGAATTGAATAATGGATAGAATGAATAAATTTCTAATAATAAGATAATATATAAATAGAACGATTCTCTCTTACATAACAGCTTTTTCCAAATCGTAATTTACAGATAACAAATAGATCTAGAAAGAGAATTTTCTATATACACAGAGGGAATTTTCTTTTAGAATTTATCCTTAAAAAATCATGGTAATCGTGGGACAAGGTATTGGATGAATTTTATAAGAGTTTCTCTAATTAATATTTACCACAATAAAAAATATTAGTATGCACATAGTAAAATTAATCAAACATTTTATATCTTATTGTAGTATTAATTTTTTTATTGTAGTAAATATTAATTGGGGAAACTTTTATAAAATTCTTCTAATATCATATTGTCACACGATTATGCCATGATTTTCAGGGTAAATTCTAAGAAAACATTCTCTCTGTGTATAATATTTATATGTAATAGTTATGTTTCATCTTTCTCTTTCGTCACATTATTGTATATAATAAGAGATATAAATAGAACACAAAATAAAATACATAATTCGAAGAAAATTTAAACCGACACTTGTTTTCTTTTCTTTTTATTTTATTTTTATTTTTATTTTTTATTTTTATCTTTTGTTTATCTGTTTGTATGTATACATAATATGTCAAATTTTTTATATACACAGATCTTTCCATTAATTTTAAATTAATTCTTTTACAACGCAAGAGGATAATAAAAAAAACAGATTTACCATCTTTCATAAATATTTATATATTTATTTTTAATATTAATGATTAATTTTTAATGTTAAAAATTAATTAATATTAAAACTGTCAGAACTTTATATCATTATTGATATTTAGCATCGTATTGAATAAAATGTAAATTGTAAATAGTAAATAATTCTTTGACAGACCATGCAATATATATATATATATATAACAACTGTTTATTATACCTATATATAGTATTTAGTATTATATAATAAAATGCCTATATATAGAGATTATCTAGAATTCTGCAGACTATAAGATAAAAAATATTGAATGATTTCTTTATATTTATACGGGAATGCAAAAATACATAATAATTTTATATTTATGCATTCGTATAAATCACTTGATATTTTTTATTCTAATCTGCATAATCCTAGATAATCAATATATCTATATAGATAATTTTATTCACGTCTCGCAAACGACATATACATATATGTAGCACATTAATGCGGCGTGGTAAATGCAGCGATCGTCATTATCGATGCGACTAATCGATGTAACTCGATTGTTCCAGCTGGCGTTTTGGCGACTTTACTGTAATCAGCTGATTAATCCGATGAGAAGTTAAACGATGCGTTCCAAACGTCGACGATTTCTCAAAGTGAAGTGAAAACTGAAATGGAAAATTGAATAAAAGGAAGAGGAGAAGAAAGCGTGCTATTGTGTCTCAAAAAGGACGAACAAAATAAAAGGAATATGTCGGAGAGGAAGCTTCTCTCTGGTCGGACTTGACTGTACACTCTGCGTGTATAAATAATAATCCGAATTCACAATCGAAAATAATCTCTTCGTAAGAAGAATTACGTTTCGAGCATTTATTAAGTATTCAGCTTTATTTCTGTCACATGAGAGTGATGTGATTCTCTGCAGAACGAGTCGAAGTGAGGACCTGCCGGATATGTTTACATTTACAATATTGCAAATAAGGCTGTAAATGATGCTGCAAGCTCGCTGGGAACGTTCTCAGAAACGTAAGAAACTTTTAGCCCAAACGGTGAGTGTCAAAATTTGCTTGGGAAAAGTAACAAGTAATTGGTTGCATTTTTAGGTTAAATATGCATGTGTAGAGCAGATGATATATCCTGATGATTTATATCTTTTTGCAGCTGGGAGTTTCCAGTGTGGACGAATTACGTCAAATTTTGGGAACAGATGTCGAGGATACTCAAAAAAAGAGGAACAGACTGTCCAGTGACAAATCTGATAACGCAGTCAAGGATTTGAAAGACGATGCTGCGCCAGCAGATGAGATTGTATATAAGGATTCTTCGACATTCTTAAAGGTATTTGTTTTCCATATTATCAAGTTGCGAGTATGTATTATTATAGTAATGTGCATTTCACATCTCATATGTATATTTGAAGGGAACGCAATCATCAAATCCACACAATGATTACTGTCAACACTTCATTGACACTGGCCAACGGCCACAGAACTTTATCAGGGACGTGGGTCTGGCGGATAGATTCGAGGAATATCCAAAGTTGCGTGAGCTGATCAAACTGAAGGACGATTTAATAGCGGAAACCGCGACCCCACCAATGTACCTAAAAACAGACCTGCTGTCGTATAACTTGAAAGAGCTCAATTGTAAATTTGATGTCATTCTTATAGAGCCACCTCTGGAAGAATATCAGAGAACATGCGGCGCGACCAATGTACAGCTTTGGAATTGGGACCAAGTTAGTCTCGCAATATTACATTCTCTTAATCGCATGCATTTTATTTTCTTGCAATATAATAAAAAATATAATACCACTCGATTTTTTCGGCATTCACAACAGAAAGTAAATAATTTCATAATAACAAACAAATCATAATATGCTAAAAATATTTTAATTTCCATTTTAAATCATCTGTTATTTCAGTTATCGAGTCACATTGGAAAATTAATAATTTTATCATTATCGATTTATTCCCGTTTGTACATGCAGATAATGGAGCTAGATATTGGTGAAGTGGCCGCCAATCGTAGCTTCGTGTTTTTATGGTGCGGTAGCAGCGATGGCTTAGACATGGGACGGTTTTGCCTGCGCAAGTGGGGTTTCCGACGTTGCGAGGATATCTGCTGGATCCGTACAAACATCAATAATCCAGGACACAGCAAAAATCTGGACAGCAAGGCGGTGCTGCAAAGGACGAAGGAACACTGCCTGATGGGTATCAAAGGTACAGTGCGACGTTCCACTGACGGTGACTTTATCCACGCAAACGTCGACATCGATCTCATCATATCGGAGGAGCCTGACTACGGATCCATCGAGAAACCTGTGGAGATCTTTCACATCATCGAACACTTTTGTCTCGGCCGAAGAAGGTATGCAGATGCATGTGAAATTTAGAGAGTAAATTTTGAATCTCAGAACTTATCTCTATAATATTGGAAATTAGAAAATTGAACATTTAAATCCAGAAAAAAATTTTTGAATCCTTTTTTTTCTTTTATATATTTCTGATTTTCATGAAAATATTACATCCATCGTTCTGTTCAGGTTACACCTCTTCGGTCGCGACAGCACCATCAGGCCTGGTTGGCTCACCGTCGGCCCAGAACTGACAAATACGAACTTCAATGCGGATCTTTATCAGAGTTACTTTACCAATGGTCAGATCACCACGGGTTGCACCGAGAGGATAGAGGCGCTTAGGCCAAAATCGCCACCACCCAAGGGAAAGGTATCTGGTCGAGGTAGAGGAGGCTTTAATCGTGGCAGAGGTAGAGGGAGATAAATTAATAATTTCAGAATTCTACATTATGTCTTTCGACCATTATTGTAATAGACGAAAAAAAATACAAAATTCTTATGAAGACACGTGTGAGATGTCTCTCGTTCGTTCCGTAAAATATTCTCCGAATACCTTATCTAAATTTAATACATTTTTAAAATCAACCTCTGTTCACGAAGAAGTTGACGAAATAATTATCTGTTTAATTATTGATATTATCTCGTTAATTTCTCGCATCTAAAATGAAATTTTCATAAAATCTATTTCACATTTTTCTCATTTGTTGTGTATATTTAAATTTGACTCGTTTAATTTGGAAAATTTAATTTCTTAATTTCCAAGATTAATTTTTTGGAGATTTTACATAAAATTTATTTTAAAATTTAAATTAAAAAAAAATTAAGTCCATATTTTTCCAAGAATCAATTGTTTTAATTAAAATAGTCCAAAGTTGGAAACGCTATTATAAATACTAGCAGAATATTTTATCGGAATAAGGTGCAAAAGAATGTTGCTAGAGGAGCAGGATGAAAAAGAAATAAAGGTAAGTCATATTTTAATATCAAACTTATTGTTATTGCAAGGTACATTGTAAAGAACGCAATTTGTCATTTGAACGCATTATTACATGTAACTTAACTATCTGCAGATAGTATATAGTATTGCCTCTCTATCTTTAAATCATTAACAATATAAATTAAATTGTCAGAATCGCAGTTTAAAGGGGAATCGAAATCAAACGATAAAAGGATCGCGGAAAATCCAAATGTGACGAATTTTCAAGTAAACAACATCTAACTGCGCATTAGAGAAACAAACGAATATACAAATAAAAAAATAAAACAGATATATTTCGTTGTTGCATCGTCGAAACAAAAAATCGTAAAGAACCTTACGAGTAGGATAGTTTAATTAATTAAATAGCGATGCATCGTCCTCGAGAGAATAAAGAAACGCGTCAGTCATTCGAAATATATATCACCGAATTATAAAAGTAGAAAAAGAAATCGAATGTTATTATACATTCGTAATTATTATACTTTTGAATTCTTCTTTTTTCATATATTTGAATTATTTTGTTTAATTATAAATGCGGATAATATAAATGCTTTCAAATAGTTGAGAATTAATTCGATGAGAAACTAAACATGATTATAAATATATCGATTTGCTAGAAATAATTTTACACTTTTTTCACGTGTATCACGTAATAAATCTGTCCTTTCGTAACATGATTCCTTAAACAAATAACTCAATGACATTGTTCAAAAGATTACGCCGCGCTCTTTCGGAGACACAAAAGTAATTAATTTTCTATTTAAATCTGAGATCAAGTCACGTATTTTGTACTCTATAGGCTGAGTCGTTAATTCATAATATATATCATAAATATAAAGTTCTTAAGATTAAGATCGTCAGCAAAGAAAAAAAAATACGCAGACTTACAAGATAGTTTTATTGGTCCCAGTAAAGCTTCCGGTGCGAGTGAAATGAATCTATTTGAGAAGGCAAAGTTCCTCGTTCTCTATTCCTTTCCAATGCATTTTTTGCGTAAACGCACATATATATAGTAACAATTATATATATATAATATATATTTTGTTTCTACTTTATAAAAAGCAAAGACTGTATTGATGAGGTCACAAAAACGTATCTAGACGTTTCGGGGATAGGATGTATTCTCGTTAACAACAAACTTAAATTTCTACTGCGAAAAATATATGCGACATATCGGTTTATTCTACTACAGCAGAAGATATTCTTTTTTCCTCCTTTCGATTAGATACTAAACGTATAGAAATAAATCAAACGACATTTATTTATTTATTGCTACCATCTTATCAATCTAACGTAAAAATTGTCTATTGTAATTTCAACTCTATGATGGATCTTACGTATCTATTCTCTCGCAATGCGCTTTTGAACGCATACAACGCAATATTTCTATCTTTCTCGTTGTTAATCATCTTAAATAATGGCATAATAATACAAAAAAAAAACAAAGATTGGGCTAGAGTATTAAAAACCCTGATACAACATAGTCATAAATAAAAAATACATAAACGATCCAATTAATAATAATAATAATAGATAACAAAATTCTTTTTCGCAGAAACAATTGTATTTCGATGCTAAACACCAATTGCGTAAATCAACAATCAGTCATCGTACTTTCTTTTTTCATTTTCTTATCACTTTAATATGATTAAATTGAAAACAGATGATCTATAGACAATTATATTGTACAAATTAATCGTAGTATGTGTACTTTTATCAAACAATTATTATTGAGGGTGAGCATCCTGCATAACAAAAAACGGAAATATTGTACAAATTTGACGACGACTTTCGTTGATAACAAAGAAATAGACAAACTTAAAATAATAATAATATCAGCGCGTGAATACATAATGCATGTGTGATAAATGTCTACGTCGTTGAAATGAATCGTTCATCATGTCGAAGAGACTCCAAAAAAAAACGCGTACGTATATATTATACGAATAAAACACATTGGAGGAAAAGTAAATAAATAAATAATTTGCGCAAAACGCGAATATTATTATTGTTCCCTCTAGAGGAATAAATAAATAGAAAAAAAAAACGAAAAAGATAAACTCGATTTATATCTCATTTATGCGGGTTATTTCGCTACGCGAAATCGATAGCGCGTCAATTTTATTCTTTTCAACAAAATTAGTGAAAATTCACTGATTAACAGTAATGATTTCTGCTTGTAATACTATTTATCAGTGCAATACACTATAATTTTATTTAAAAAGAATAGGTTCTAGAATAAACTTTATGCTCCGAGACTCGCTCGACAATAAGACGCATTTATTGCGCGAAATTGAACAAAAAATATTGCCAAATATTCATTATTATAAAAAGATTTCTAACTAGTATTAATCGTGATAGCCTTTGCACAGAAGAAATCAAGCGCCTTTTCTCGTGTAAAAAAAAAAATATGAAATAAGTTTTCAAAGTTTTCTCTTTAAAACTTTTCATACAATATAAAAAATTTGTTAAAATAATTGCTATAATTTCTATAATTTGGATAAATTATACATCGACATAATTAATATAGTAATAAATCTATTTCTTCAAAGAATGACTCTACTTATTGCAACGATTGCAGTTTCAATAATATTAATTTACAAATATGTTTGTCTTCGTATATACAAAAATTTATTTATTTATAATCGCTACTAATAGACATTTTTTCATCTATAAATCTTTCCAGGAAGAAGAACAGGAAATTAATTAAAACCGGCGCTTCATTTCTTTTATACAAAAGCCATACTGATCGCGCACAATGCGATACACATGACATAATGTTGTTAAATTAATTAATCCTAATGATAACGGAATTCTTTCTCGTGAAGCATATCAGCGTGTGTGTACCAAGAAGAATTTTGCGAGGATAGGCGGGCAGGGTGTATTATATGCATGCGTGGTGTGGCAGGCACGAGGATGGCGATGGTGGTTGTCTCATCTATTCGCACACGACAATCGACTCGGTAATCAAGCGGTGCGAGGTTTCAGAGGTTGATCGTCACAGTGAAGAAGTGTTTAGCCCCGCGATCGGCCCCATCATCATCTCAGTCAAGTCTCAACAGTCACAAATATGTCGATTCCCCTGCAAGCAGACCTATCGTCAGTCGTGAAAAAAAAGGCGCGAAGTCGAGAAGAGAACACAATTTTTTTTTTTGGCCAATCAACAGAAGCTTGGACGAGGGTTTGGACAACATGGTATAACATATAGAAACTAATGCCGTTTATGAAGAAGCGGGGACAAGCTTAAAAGAAAATATAAGAATTGTTTTTAAACGCACACTTAGTATGACAGGGATGAAGAAAATCAAGCTCGCACACACACACACACACACATTGTGCATCTCTCCAAATTCTCTTCAGATTTCAACGCAACTTCTCGTTTAAATTGCAATACATTTATCATTAAATAAAAATATTCATATTAGTCAAAAAAATTTATATTTATTTTTTTAATATATAAAAACTGCCAAGAATTATATAATTAATAGGACAATTCTATCTTTGACCAGGGTGGTATTAGAGAGAGAGAGAGAAAAAGTGCGTTGAATTCTAGAAAAATCACAAAATAAGTAAATAAATTTCATTATGTTATATATTTGATTTGCACGAAACATAAAGTTTCTGTGGAAATTTCTTTATTCTTGAACTTACCCTGATATGAAATGCAACGAACCTGATTGTGAGAAGAAAATATAGCAAAATCAGACATACGTATATATTGCTGAAGCTTAAATATAAAAGTTCGAAAAATTACTCTCTGAAACTGATTATACACAATTATTTTATTCGCAATAATAATAAGAGGTTTAATCATATGTCTTTATTACATTCATTGCAGTGTTCGATCCGACAACTAATAGATATTAGTGTCAAAGCTTGCGATAGCAACGGGGTTGTTAAGGCAGCGATATTACAGATATTATATCGAACATGTTTTGTCGGATAAAGGACAGGCTTATATAAACGCAGACAAATATCCGTAAATATGATAAAATATAGCTCTAAGTTGCTCGCTTTAATCTCTTCATAAATTCTGGAAATGATCAACGGTAAATTTGCAGCTTTTGTTAATACAGTTATTCTTTCATAATGTACAATCTACTTATAACGGAGAAAATAAATCGGAGGAGAGATGCGGCTCGTTCGGAAGAACACCAGGGATATTCTTACACAAACTGCATCGTGTAACATTTATTTGTCAGTAATTAACGTGTATCTGTGAATAAATATATATATATATATATATATATATATATATATATTTATTGTATATATATATGTATTCATAATTTGATGACAAAATCTTACTCTCGTCGACACCGACAGGTACGATATAAAAAATCGGCGAAGTAAATGTATTTTATTATCGGATCGCCCCGCGCGTCTAAATCGATTTCTAATCGATATCGTTTTGTTCTAAATGAGAAATGGCGGATAATTCGCGCGTAAGCGTTAATTAATACTCGTGTATAATATATAATATGAGATATATGTATATATGTATATATATTTATATATATATATGTATACATATATGCATCAAGAGATACGGCATACATACGACATACTTGTATTCAATTTAACAATAAGGAGAAAGTACAAAAATACATTTATCGTGTAAATGTAAAACGGCCGTTGTAAAACGGAGTAGACGCGTTCGTGTAACGAAATATACAAGAAGGGTTTTGTCCGTTGCGTTCGTGAAGTCTTATACGAGATGGTCCAGAAAGTTGGGGATAAAAAAAAAAAAAAAAAAAAATTAATTCTCTGAAAGAGACTATTCTTTTATTTGAATGTAAAACAAACGAGAAGTTATGCTTTACAAAAATCAAGTAATATGAGGAAGAAACGTAAATAATATTAAACATATTTAAAATATATCATTTTTATGTATATGTATAATATTTTTATACGTTACTGAAGATTAGATAGTTTGATCAATTGAAAATTTAGATTAAATTTTCTCCTTGATAAATTTTAATTAAATATGTGTTTATGTAATATAAATTACGATAAAAACATGTTCTCGAAAGAAATTTATTTTTCAGCAAGAAACAACTTCAAACCTTCTCAAAAATACATCTCTATCATATCGTTCTTTTTCTGGATCATCTGACATAAGCGTCTTAATGTAAGTCGAGAACTAACAATGGTATTATAAAGTTTTACGCGCGAGAGTAAATAGGAATAATATAGAAATCAATCGTTATCAACGATTGCGTATAAAATTCATATGCATACCGTTCAAAATCGGCTTTTAAATCGTCCACTACTAAAAAATAAGCTTCTCATGCAACTTTTATCTCACAACTGACACGTAGATCAATATGCATATAGATTATCAAGGAAAAATTCGGCATTTCCCTCGCTTTTCGCGAATATCGCGAGTTCGCTTCTTATTAGACTCACTTAAATAATAATCGCTGATTATACAGGCATATAGCAAATTAATCGAAACATCCGTCTTCCTTGACATCTTTCTCGAAATCTCGTCGCGTAATGATATTTATTTATATATTTTATTAATCGAAAAAGTCTACCATTTCGTCGAGCAAAACGTAAACCGCGAAGCGGAACAGATGTTTCATTGCCAGAAAAAATTTATTAAAGTCAACATTTGCAAAGATAGTAATTTTTTTCTGCACAAAGAGAATGTTCTTAGAATTTACCCTGAAAATCATGATAATCGTGGAATAATATGATATTAAAAGAACTTTATAAGAATTTCTCTAATTAATATTTACCACAAAAAACATTAATATGTACATAGTAAATTTTACTGTGTACGTAGTAAAATTAATCGAACATATTTTATATCTTATTGCGGTAGATATTAATTAAAGAAACTCTTATAAAATTTTTCTAATTGTTCCACGATTACCACGATTTTCAGGGTAAATTCTAAAAGAAAATTCTCTCTCCGTGCAAAATAGTTTTTATAGAATGTATATGTATTCCAAATGATATATTTTCGAGTACTCTATTAATGCAACACAAGACAACGCAACGGATAAAGATAATAGATCGCACCGGAAAGAAAAGTTTGGATTGTGTCGAGTCGGCGTAAACGTATAAACTTTTTATTCGCAAAAGGATGGAGATCCTTGTGCGCGCGATGTATCTACATATTTATTAAGCATTTCGTATGCTGAAATAGTGCTAAATATTAAGTGGAAAGAGTAAATATTTTTTGTACACTTTCACACACGGTTCGTGTTGTAAATTTATGTCATAAAGATATCGCAATGAGAGATGAAGAATTTAAGACTTGATCGCTTTTAAAATCTGTATAATAATCAAAAAGTATCGAACAAAAGAATTTTTTTGCGTACGGAATAATATCTTCAATCATTTTGAAATACTAAATATATTAGGATGTCTCTCGAAAATATCGCAATTTCTTTTAGTTGCAAACTCCTTGACAAACTTAGAAAAAAATTCAAATAAAATATTATAATTACTAATATACCAAAAATATACAGAATCATTAAAAATGTTTGAATGAATTAATTTAAAAAATTCTGACTTGATAATTTGACTTTTTACTTAATAATTTAATTTACTAAATTAGACATTTCACTCAATTTTACATTTATAATATTCATGACATCTTTGCTGACAAAAGTTCGAAAGTTTGCAATATCTAAAAGGAAGTGCGAGGAATTTGAAATATCCTGTAATTTAATGAGAAGAAAAATCTCGATTTCTTAAACCCGTATCGCCAGTCAATATTGAGCTCTATCAGCATAACAAATCCTCTGCAAATCTTGTTCAAATTGTTACCAATGTACGAACCGTGAGAGAGACTCGCAAGGATACGGTGAGAATCGATTCTTTCAGCGAAGAAATTGATGGCGGTTGTTCCAATACAATATTCTCTCTAGAACGTTATTATTATTGACTTATGATATTTATTCTTATGAAAATATTCATTTTTTTACAGCATTATTTTCTTTTCTTTTTCATTTCACGGCCTATATATAGTTCATATAAATATGCACTTCCGCTACGCCATATATATTTATATGGACCGTTCATTTGTTTTTCGATTATTTCTTCTACCTAACAGACACAATGTTTCTATATTTGTCGTCGTTTTGAAGTTTGGCTGTATACTTGTTTTTTTTTTTTTTAATTAAAAAAATTACTATAAATCACAGGTTTGCAAGCGGAAAAAATAAAGTGTCATAATTTCATAATCATATATTATATTATTATTTTATGAAATATTCAGTTTGGAAATTTTCTATCTCGCATTTTGCTTCATTAGATAATTAGTATACAATATATAGGATAGCTTCACGAAATATTCTTTCAATGCTCGAAAAAACTCAAGTAACCCTTTCTCATTGCATTCAGATAATAACATTATAAATATGCGTCCGTCATGAGAACTCAAAATTATTATAGAATTTATAAGCTCACTCGCGACGTAAGATGTATGTTCAGCGTTAAAATTCTACTTATAGAAATTTTGAAAATATCTCAAGCACCTGCGTATACACATAGACAATTTTCGGTATATCAATATTAGGGAATATCATTGGATTAAATCATACGAATCAGCCATATAAATCTATCTGCTGCATAATTTATTAATTGAAAGTTATATTTAGATTATTTAGATTTAAAAAAATAAATTATCATGAAAAATAAATTAATAAAATTCATTAAAAATATATGTATGTATTAGGAAGTTATTATGATACGTTTTTTTCACACAGCGAAACTAAAATATAGCAAATATATAAAATATCTCGCTATATATTTTTTCATATGCAAAACGTTTAATAATTTTCGAATAAGAATAATTTGTCTTTCTGAGTAATTTTTTTATTTAAGAATATCTAATATAAATCGAAAGGTTTGTGATACTTGATCGGATGTAACAAAAATTGTCTACGTGTTAAATTGCCATGTGAGTGAAAAAAATGTGCCATGCAAAATGGAGTGAGCTCAATGTTGTTCACATAGACGTTATCGTTTATAAAGGAAAACGAAAGAGAGTTGAAGTAAAGAGTGCTTAATATAAATAGTGTTAGTAAACCTGTGAGTATATTAATTTTGATTAGATTCTTACGG